TCCCCGTCCACGTCGTCCTCCTCCTCCATCACTACTACGCTCTCGTCGACATCACCCCTGCAACGAGACAGCATATGTTAGAGCCGGAGAGGGATAGGGCAGCTGTTAGAGCCGGAGAGGGGAGGGCAGTGGAGCCAGAGAGGGGGGCTGTTGGAGCCGGAGAGGCCGGGAGGGCAGCTGTTAGAGCCAAAGAGGGGAGGGCGGCTGTTATAGCCAGAGTAGGGGGGGGGAGGGGGCAGCTGATAGAACCGGAGAGGGAGGCAGCTGTTAGAGCCGGAGAGGGGAGGGCAGTGGAGCCAGAGTGGGGGGGGGGGGGGGCAGCTGTTAGAGCCGGAGAGGGTAGTTGTTACACTCGTTAGACTAGCCGGAGAGGGAGGACAGCTGTCAGATCCGGAGAGGACAGTCATTTTGGAGCAGACTGCAATTAGAGTAGCCGCTCCCTTCGTGACTGTCAGCGGCAGCCAGCAACAGCTAAACAGTAAACATGATACCATGGAATTATATTTGCAAGTGTAAAGCAGTGAAAACGACCATCCGATTCGAAAATAAATCAGCGCCGATTAGCAATGGCTTTTTAAGCAAACAAGTGAAATCAAGGTGAAATGACATATTTTCACAAAGCAATAAACATGCCAAGCAGTCCCATTGGCGATTCACTTTTCCCACCTTCCGCTATCAATACCGGCCTGCCACTCACTAACTAACTGCCCCCTGAGTATTCCCTCTATCATTTATCATTCTCCCTCCCTCCTATCACCCACTCCTCCCTCTTCCCTCCACCGCGTTACTCACTCCTCCTCCTCCTCGACGCCATTTTCCACCTCGATGTCGGGCACCAGGAAATACTGCAGCGGGTTCGGCCACATGTCGTCCTTGATGACCTCGGCGATGTCGTCCTGCGACGGGTCCTCGTGATCCTCGAACCACAGGAAGAAGGACTTGACGTCCAGGCCGCGCTTCCGGCCCTGCTTCATCTTCTCTTGCCGACTCCGCGCGCTCTTGACCAGGTTCATGTCGGCGCTCCAGCTGATCTTTGTTGACTCTGACTTGGGATCTGTGAACACGGGGAGTGGGGAGGGGTGGGGCGCGTGTTCAAATAAGAGACGGAATGCAGTTGTTAGCACGTCCTTGACAAGACTTGTACCAGGCAATGATTTCATCTGCCTGGCTGTTCACAGTGTTCACTGAGAGAAATTAGAATAACAAAACTAGTGAACTAGCAGAAGTCAGCCATACCAAAAACACTCCAATTCTCCATTTCAAAAGCTGAACTCAGTAATTATCAATTCGATTCTAGGCTTAACACATCATTGTAAAATAAAGTACATATTTCATCATTACTTCCATTTAGTCATTGCTAAATGCCAAAAGAGCACACCTGATTGCAGCTGCATACCTGATGTTCCCAAATGGAACTCCTTTGTTAGTACATCATTTGAGAAGTAGGGGTTCTTTGAGAAGTGGAACTTGATCCTGTAGCCGGACTTGATGTCCTCGAATTCCTCCACCTCCAGCTGGGTCATGTAGTGGAGGCATTCTTCCTCCTCCTCATCCAGTAGTGCTGATACTTGTGGATGGTTGGCAAACTAAATATCTCAGTCAAGGAACCAACACAGATGGGCAGCCTACACACCCTACACAATCATGCCCAAAGCTCCTGTCAAAGCTCAATGTCACAGGCCACAGCTAACTGCAGCTTAGCAAATACTCAATTACATTACTACTCTGGTTACCACAATATATCACTGGTTGAATTTTGGGCTAAATTTTAGGCTGGTTTAATTGATATATGGTGTATAAAACAGGCAGAATGTTCAGGGAAAAGATAGGAATGATAAATGACTCAGCATTCCTTGTCAGAATATCATTGGAGATAGGTATACTAAATATAAACCATGAAGTGCATGTTTTATGGCTGATTGTAAAGGAAGAAGAAAAGCTCTATATCAACATCACTAACATTTGTAGACACAATGGAAAGCTGAAAATAAGAAGCATTCAAACAGTGTACAATGCATGTGCATGTAATACAATATGCTCATAATCAATGACCCACTAAAATCTGACCCACTTGATGTGTCATGTCAGTCCAGGCACAAACCCATTAAAATAATTAATCTGAATGCTGATTGGTTCCAATGGTTCCATGCTCATAAACAGCATATTGAGTACTGCACAAAAGCATCTATACCAGTCGGGGAAACTGTGGTCAAATCTTCCATTTTTAGAAAGCCTTCCATTTTTGGAAGGATTTTCTATATATGGGTACGCACCTTCCAAAAATGGGTACGCTGACGACGTCATCGTACCCAAATATAGAAAATGTTGCGCATATGTTGGAACTTACCGATTTCCGCCGAACATGAGGCAAATGCGACTATCGCCCCTGGTCGCTTTCTATTCGCCATAGTGAAGTGTCCATAATCTAGCGTGGATGCCTAAATCCTAGCGTGGATGTATTTTAGGTAATTTTTCAAAGTAATGAGTCGTGGAAAATTGACAAAAATTTACCGACAAACGATGGTTTTATAAGACTTTATCAAACATTTTGTAAGCAAAAAGCATCAAAAACGAAAAGTAAATATCCTTAAAAGTACTTTAGTGACGGGCCATGCTTGTTCGATACCGCCGACTTTATTTACAGTGCGGAATTGTCTGGACAGAGTGCGGCGGTTTCGGGAGTGTAGTGGCGAGTAAAACTTGTATTTGTTGCCGTTTTCTGCATTTATTAGCATATTGTGTGGTTGATTTCAATTTTTTAAGGCTTTTGCCAAACATTTGGGTGGAGGTCTCGTCATTTTTCAATGTTTTTTCCGGAATATGGGACGAATTAAATAGGCGTTGCTGCGCCGTTTTTCGTGTTACTTTCTATCGAAGGAGCATGAATCTTCAATTTATATGAGGAATAGTAAGTTTAATTTAAACCATTTTTTGTCAGGGCTATAGCTGTGTTCCTCCTGGTTGGTTATTGACCAGCTGTTTTCTCTTCTGAATTTCTATGTGTCCTCTAGAAGTAGAAAAAGAGAGCAGTGTGCCAGGACACCATGCTATTATATCACTATGTACATTGACATAGCATGCCTGTATTACCATCACTAGCACTGCTGCTTCTCCTTATATCAATGATCATAAATGGCAAAATCAACTATTAATGTTACACATTTAAAAAGGCCGTAACTTAAATCAAAGAATGTGAATCACAGTTGGGAACACTGAGATTAGACCTTCCAATTTTGGAAGCCTTCCATTTTTGGAAAATGCATACCCATTTATGGAAGGTCCTTCCAAAAATGGAAGGCTTCCAAAAATAGAAGATTTGACCACAGTTTCCCCCACTGATACAGGGCTATTAATTATTAAATGTGCATCAGAAATAATAGTCCAGGCACAGGAGCTTAAACTGACCTCTAGCAGTATAGCATTACGTTGCCACCCCTATCGGGGTTTGACTGAAAGCCATGACCAAAGGTGAAAAAATTACTCCACGATCATTTCTTGCTGCACCAGCAAACAGTGCAAAAATTTCGAACCTGGGCATTACCATTAACTCGTAAGTCATTCAAGCCAGTCTTAAGACACTATTGTCGATTTCTGATGCAGTAAAGGGCAGTTAGACCTACAATTATGGATGAAATACACAGATGAGGGTGTTGTTAATGGAAACACAGCAAAAAATGGCAAAAATAATTGATGCATACATCCGTAACACGAGTGCTACAATTGCGGCGCAGACGCCGGTTGCATGGCCAAAAGGATACTGCAGTGACCCAGAAGTTAGGAATCTTCTTGATTATTTCGTTCCGTTTTTCGAAAAACGGCTTCCTCAACTTGTTGTACTTCTGTTCTACCTTAAGGATTTCTTCACTAGCCTTCTCGTTGAGGGCATCGATTTCATTTTGACACCCGTCGATTTCCTCCAAAGCCTTCTGCGTCTCGGCGTCGAAATCACGGCTTTCTTCTAGGTCTCCGGACTCGTCTATCTTTTTCATCTTCTTGGGTGTCGGTCCTTCAGTCGACATATTGTCGAAATGTGATAAACACCGGCTATTTCACAATATAACACCTATACTATTTCGAAGCGCGCGAAACACCACCACGCCGCGCGCTCTCAGAACACGACGTCCGGTCTATTGATTAATCTGATTGGCTGTTGGAGCGGCGCCACTACGCATGCGCAGTTCTGTCTAAGTAAGTTGCGTTCAGTAAATTATTGATGGCCGTGAATCATGTTAAGAGACATTGATATTTTTTACGTTTTTCGCTTGTAATAATTGGTTTATGTATGTTACCTTGGAGTTTATTCCAAATCTGCTCAGCTTTTCAAGTATTTTACGTGAGTTTTGCCTCACTCGTGAATGCTAATATTTTCCCGTCACGAAGGAGATGAGTCGCAACCTGCACACCGCCCGCGGCTCCGTGCCGACTGCCGTGCTTCATTCCCGTTCCCATCCCAGTGCCCTGTGCCGCCTGGCGCCTTGTATCCTGTCCGGCACCCTTCCGGTACCGAGCATCCGCAGGCTCAATCCATAAGTAGGCTCTCTATTCCGTGAGTAAAGGACTAGACTAGAGAAGGAGCGCGGGATTGAAAAAGGCAGGAAAGGGTCCGGTGAATGGACACGGGTAAAGGGATTAGGAAGTGTTTTACATTGGTCACCACTCACCTTAGTCTCTTCGTCTCGCATTCTGGAACCCAGCACCCTCCCCCCCCCCTCCATCCCGCAGTGTTGGCAGGGCAGCTCCGCCCGTGGTTCCGACTTTTGATTTCCGTCTGGCCTTTTGGTCACCGTTCTCCGGGCCCTGTGCTTGCTACTCAAACAGCCACCCTCGTCCCATTCGGTCGTTAATATCCTCCTTTTATCAAATCCTTCTATCCTAGGATGTATAAAGGAGTCCACGACTCTTTCAGCGATGAGATCCGATTTTGTTCAAGAGGCAGCCTTCATAATAAATGTTCGGATGCTCATTTGACATTTTCCACACGAGCTTTCTTTCACATGCTATTTTGAATATACAATGTATTAATAAGAGCTATATCGATTCTACCAGCAGTGCATACAACAAAGCACGCTGTCTAACAGCACTCGATCTACATGGCGTGACGGTCGTACAGCGGTCGCCATAACTTCACGCTCATCCAGAGGCGGCTGTGAGTGTGGATCCTCCAATATCTTCTACAGGGGTTTGCTCAGCTTCAACGCACCAATGACAATCAATGGTGAGACCCGAACATTCCTCCGGCCGCGACGGCGGGTGGACGCACATGACAGACAGGGGCTCACAGGTCACTTACTGATATGGTGCGATTGGTCACAGGGGTCGACTCAGTATTACACAATCTCTCGATTATAATGCAACAGTCCCGGGCCGTATGCGTGTAAGGGTAAGCAATGCATGTTTGAACGAGCCATGCCTATAACGACTATATTTACAGATTTCAGCTCCACATTAAACCAATCACATTGACCTCTGCTGCTACACGGTAATGGCACAACCATAACGCAGAAAGTATAGGCATGTCTACAGCCTTTAAACACATCTGCTCATCAGACATCATGCATCCATAACAAGCGTAGTGTGAATAATTAAGTTGTGCAGTGTAACGTCTATTTTCTATTTTTGTCTCGCTTCCATTTATATGCGCTGGCTCGCGGCTCGTATCGTATCAAAATTCAAACTATGTAGAAGTCACAAAGCAGTGAACATTGCACCTTCTAATAAATGTGCAAACTTATTTAACGATAGCTTCCCATCTCTTCTAGAATTTTTGCCAATAATCTTATCCCACTAAAGCCGTGATCGGTGACTGCATGCCGCCCAGTTCCAGGCCAAGTCAATGTTCGTCTCTGATCATTGCCTCGGTAAGTATATCACACGATTGTTCCTTGACTGCGGCCGAGGCCTTGACGACACCGTTTCCAGCGCTTTGATCCTCGATGTGCTACGAAGGCCACGAGGTGACACAGCCCACAGCCACTCTGCATATAGCGATCACGCCGGTCCCACAGTACACTTACGGTGCAAATTTCGCCATGCAATGCAAATTCGGTCGATTGCTATTACTGGGTGTGGCATTGACTGGAGAGTTATTTATGGCTCTAGGATAGGTATGGTATGTGTTCTGTAGAGTCTTGCCCATCAGAATATTGCCATAAAAGCTAGGCATAAGATACTCCTAGTCCTTAGTTTGGCCAATGCGAGTTCGGAAGAATAGAAGTAAAAACCAATGACGACCTGAAATAATTTCTGAAATAATTTCACTCGATCTACGTTCCTTGAGTTGCTATCCGGCTGTCAGTGACCTCTGATGAAAAATACATGAGAAGGGCTGCGATCTGCCGATCTAACACGCCCTTGTGGCAGCTCAGTAGCATCACGACCGGTCCTGCAGATCACTGTGAGACACTACCTCAGTACCTCACCAGTGAAACTCCACTCCGTCTCACTAACTCCCAACTCTGCCTCAGTCACTAACTTGTCACTCTCAGTCATCAACACTTCATCACATCAGCTCTGGAACGAGAGTCCAAGTCAGAAGCCGTCATCGTTCTCCCTCACCCTGTCATCAGCGCTCAGCTCACCCTTACATATTGGAGACGATCTCATGCCGCCTCTTGAACGACATCTTGTCCTCGCGAGGATCGTGCCTCTTCTTGGCCTTCAGACGCTCGCGCATCTCGGCCACCGTCAGGTTCTTCCACGACTCATCCTCGATGCTGTCAGACTTCTTAGCCGCTGGTTTCTCGGCTCCTTTAGCAGCCGCTGCTGGTTTCTCAGCGGACGCCGGCGATGGTTTCTGAGCCGATGACGGTGACGGTTTCGCGGCGGCAGCCGCGCTGCCGTTCGGTGCCGGCGGAGAGGCGGTGGCAGCAGTAGGTGGCGAGGCAGGCGGTGCCGCGGGGTCATGCCGGGCCTTCTGGGACTCTGTGGTCCCGGAGGGCGCTGCTGGGTCCACAGCAGGGGCAGCAGCGGGGGCAGGGGCGGCGGCGGCGGCGCTGTTGAACTGGATCGGCTCGTAGTCGTGCGTCGCAGTCGCCCGCTTCGCCGGGGCCGCAGCTGGGGCGGGTTCAGCGGGAGCGGCCTGCGGCTCCGCCTGAGGAAACAAAGACAAGGGCATTGGTAAACGGACGGACAATGGGCTCGTGCGGCTGGTTCGGCATTCATGTTGCATTGTTTGTGCTTGTCTGGCGATTGAGTGGGCGTTGTCCCTTTAACCGGTATAACCGATGCCTCCGCTTTCTGCTTTTGCTATTCTGTCCTCTCAGACTTATCCGGCTCCGAACTGTTTTCGCCTCCTTCAATAATACATAGGGATGAATGACAACAACGTTTCACGATGTCCTAGTGCAAAACATTTGTCGATTTCCACGAACCTTTTTTAGATTTGTGCCAAAATAATTCGGGCATTTAAAACTATTCGTGTTCATGATAGGTACGTGCAAAAAAAAAACGGTGTGCTTATTTAATGTAAAAATAACCTATTGTAGCTTTTCTCCGGTCAATGTTTTTTTTTTTTTTTTTTACTTTCTTTAAAACGGCTCAAGGCTCCTGCCCTGTCAAACATTCGGCATTAATTGTGGGCTGAATATCTCACCTTCTTTTCCTCCTGCTGAACTGGTGGTTCTGGTTTCACTTCAGGCTTATCTTCGGACTTCTCCCCCTCCGCTGGCTTCAGCTCCTCTTTCGGCTGCTCTACTTGTTTCTCCTCCTTCGCCTCAGATGCCTTCTCTTCCGTCTCCTCCACCTTGCCCGGCTCGGAACCGTCTGGTTTCGCCTCCTTGGCTGGTTCCTCCTTGGCTGGTTCCTCCTTGGCTGGTTCCTCCTTGGCTGGTTCCTCCTTGGCTGGTTCCTCCTTGGCTGGCTCCTCCTTTGCTGGTTCCTCCTTGACTGGTTCCTCCTTTTCTGGTTCCTCCTTGGCTGGTTCCTCCGTCTCTTTCTGCACAGTCTCGGCGTCGGCAGTCTCGATCTTGACCGTCTCCATCACGGCCGTCTCAGTCTCTGCCGTTTCGGTTTTGGCCGTCTCGGCAGTCTCCGTCTCGGTTGCCTCTGTTTCCGTTACCGGCTCCGGCGCCTCTGCTGGTGTCTCGGGCTCAGTAGACGGAGATGGCTCCGCAGGAGCCATCGCCGTCTCTGCAGGAGCCGGCTCCGTCTCTGCTGGCTTCGTCTCCGTCTCTGCCGTCTCTGTCTCCGTCGGTTTTGTCTCGATCTCTGCCGATGGCGCTGTAGTTTCTTCTACAGCTTCTGCTGCTTTGTCGACCTCGTCCTCCTTTGGCGGTTCGACGCCGTCACCCTAGAACGATTGTGGTCATCACGTTAGAATGTGTGCTTCATTTACGTATCTTAATGGGAAGAAAAGGTGTAAGCTGGGACATTTAAACATGCAACAAACAGTAACGCTTATAACGGCTATTACCCCGCGCCCCACGGGGGGGGGGGCTATTCATAGCCTCCCCTCCCGTTTTTCTGCAATAACTTCCAAACCGCTTGACGTATCGACGCCAAACTCTCCGTACCTTCGGCTGCATCAATTTGAAACCTTGTGTCAAAATATGAGCTTCGTAGCTACCATACGTCGGCCGGAAATGACGTCAGAGTGACGTCATGTTCGGTCGATTTCGACGCAAAACATTGAACCACGGCAATCACGCCCCAGAGCCCAGTTTTCAAGTTAGATCCAATTAATTTCGTTGCATGTGAATACTCAGAATAGACTGCGCTATCAAACTGCTATATAGGATTTTCAAAATTTTGAAAATCTTGAAAATTACATATGCCTAATAAAATTTTAATTTTACTTTTCGAACAAACCGGAATACCTATATGTGATAGAAAACATGCTTATGACTTACTCAAGCAAGTTTTAGCTAAATAGCTTAAAAATGGCCAAGTTATACGCATTATTGCAAAAAAATTCACAATTATAAACTTTTCAAATCAATTTTCAGTACGTATTTGACATCGTACACCAGTATAAATAGCACCATCGTGCTCCTGAGCTCAAACTGCATCCAATAACACCTTTTTTGTTGAAAAATTTTAACTTCAAAAGTTGTCCTTTTTGACCTGAAACTGACCTGACCAAAGCTAAATTCAACTCAAAATGACCTCAAATGACACAAACGACATCAAATTCGAAATCTATGGCCTAAATGGACCATAAAACATGTGTCACGTGACCGACGCACGATATAATATTTCCGTGACCTGTGATGACCTGACCCTGACCTGAAAATCAAAGTACAAGTTTGGTACCCTCAGGGTATCTAAAGAATTTGTTCATGAGTGTGTAAACCAAAAATGAGCCTGATCTGACTTGTAAGACGGTGGCCAGAGCCCAAAATGTGAACAAGCCGAAATGCTAATAATTTTTACTTTGACCTGATCTGTGACGTCATCGGTGACCTCGAGGTCAATGAAATTAGGTTCCGCTCGACAGTTTTCCCGGAGCTATCAGACGCCGGTTGAATTTTGACGATCGGCCCAGTAGTTTACGAGTTAGGAGGGGCTATAAAGAGCCCCTCCCCCCCCCCCGCCAGTGGGGCGCGTTATACGCAGACCCTGCAGTGGGGCGCGGGTTAACCCGCGCCCAGATGGGGTCTGCCGAGCAACGCGGTCTGATGGGGGGGGGGGGGCATTTTGGCCCCCCCCTCAGATCTCGAGAACCACGCAACATAGCGACAAGCGGTAAACGGTGTTGGATAGCCCCAACGGGGAACTACCTTGTGACCCAATTTCATTGACCTCGGTCAAACCGATGACGTCACAGGTCAGGTCAAAAGTCGAATTTTCACCGTTTACAGGCATTTCAAGAAATGCGTTGTAAAATCGTGTAAAATGCATTTCATTGAAAATCATCGATGGGGAAATGTTCTTCAAACACATATTTTGCTATTTGAGGTCACTGATACCAGGTCAGGTCACAGAGGTCAGGTCACTGGGGGGTCACAATATGAAAGTGTCATGTGATACATGTTTTATGGTCCATTTTACATGACAAATGCGATTATGTGGGTCAGACAGACTTTAGGGCCAGCTTAGGTCACGTTTTGGTCAAGGTCAGGTCAAGGTCAGGTCAAGGTCAGGTCAAATTAGGTCAAATTTCAAAGTTGATATTTTTGCATAAAATGGGTATCGATTCGATGCAGCTCGTCACTAGGAGTTCAATGGTGTTCTCTGTTTTGCGCTACGAGGTATAGAATTGCTAAAAATTGAGTTCAAAAATTTGACGTCATCAATTTTTAACAGTTTTTTCGCTATAACTTGGCCAAAAAAAGAGGTATCGATCTAAAATTTGGTATGTATATCGAAGAGCGCAGGGACTATCACATATATTCCGGTTTTTTCGAAATTCGAAAATTTTTTAGAAATTTTTTGAGTTTTTCTAAAAAAATCAATTTTTTTTATTTTGGGGGTCAAAATCCCAAAATTTCGAAAATCCGAGATAGCAGTTTTGTAGCGCCGTCTTTTCTCTACACAACCATATAAAGAACTTTAAAATTGCTTGTTAACTGTAGAATTGGTGAGCGTTTCAAGATGTCATGTTATTTGCTCATTTTTACTCGAACATGACCTCAGTTTGACCTCAATAACTCCTGACCTGAGGTGAGCTGTGACTTGAAATTTTGTGTGAAGGTGTCAAATTGATGTCCGCTAAGGTACCCAAAATTTGGCGGCGCTGCACGCGCCGCCGTTTTCTCGCTATTTAAGAAAAACCACAGGGGGGGCCAAAATGGCCCCCCCCATCAGGGCGCGGGTTAATGGTTATTTGATGTATCTTATAGCAAAGGAACATGTAAAACAGTGGAAAATTACCAAGTAGAGCGCAGGCAAAGTAAGGTGCATAGTATTCTCCCTAGCATCTGGTGTTTAAATTTTACAAAATACGGTGCAAATTCGGCGGCAAATTAATTATCTGCACCCCTGGATCTTACCGTTTCTTGTTCTGCAGGAGTCGCGTCGCTAGGCTCCTCTGTTGTGATAGTGATCTGAGGCACCAGGCTGGCTTCAAGAGCCGATGGCTTGGGTTCCTCCTCCACAACCTTAGGCTCCTCCGCAGCTTTAGGCTCCTCCTCGGCTGGTTTAGGTTCCTCTGCTGGCTTAGGCTCCTCTTCGACAGGCTTAGAGTCATCAGCCGGCTTCGACTCTACCTCCACTGGCTTCGATTCATCTTCAGCCACCTCAGTTTCTTCATCTGCTTTAACTTCCTCAGTTGGCTTGGATTCTTCTGTCGGTTTAGATTCATCCACTGGCTTGGAGTCCTCCTCTGGCTTGGAGTCCTCCACAGGTTTGGAGTCCTCCACAGGTTTGGAGTCCTCCACAGGTTTGGAGTCGTCCTCTGGTTTAGGTTCCTCCACATTTTCGGTCTTCTCCTCCGCTGACTTCGCCCCGTTTTCCGCTGGTTTTGGCTCATCTGACGAGCCATTCTGCGCTGTCTCGGTTGAATCCGTTTTCTCTTCAGCCACTGATTTATTCGCCGAGTCAGGGGAGCTATCCAGGTTATCATTTGATTCTTCCTTGTTTTCAGTGACCTTTTCGTCGGCTACTGGAGAGCCATTTTCATTTTTGGCAGCCTCGGCTGGAGTAGAGGTCTCCTCCTGCTTGGTGTCGTCCTCCTCTTTCTTGGAGTCCTCCTCTTGCTTCTTGTCGGTGCTTGGCGGAACCGGAGGTTTCACAGGGATCGGACCCTTGTGCACCGGCTTCGGGGGGCTGGTTTTCGCCTGCGAAAACAAGTTTCAGTGTTAGATTAAGAAATTTTAAAAGATCGCTTTTACAACGTGTTTAAAATGAAACAAAAAGCTTGTTTTTACAACGTGTTAAAAATTGTAGCAAAACGTATTTCTTATGTGTAAAAGCGGTATAAAATAAGTACTCTTGATTGACGAAGTGCACGACTTCAGAGCCCCCCCCCCCCCCCCAAAAAAAAAAAAACGGCAAGAAGTGAACATATCGACACCTTTTTTTAAACCCCACATCTGCTCTCCCGTGAATTTCCGGGAGGCACGAAAGATCTCCTTTTAAAAGTGTCCAATCGTCCGATCCTGATCAAATATGTGTGTTCGTAGGCCTGTTCTGGTATTGCTTTATCTGCCAAGACAGACAAACTTGAGAAAAATCGCGTGATTGTACCTTTTTTGAAGGTCTCTAGCCAACTTGTCAGAAATTCACCGGAGAACAAATGTGGGGTTTAAAAAAAAGGTGTCGATATGGCGATTCACAGTATTTCATGTTAATCGGATAACGGTAATGCGCACTGGTCGAAATCTATCACAAACGGAACCCAAACAAAGTATACAAACGACACATGTAGGGACACCAGAAGGCTATCTTTGCCACCGATCTGTCGCTCCTGGTGGGCCTCTGAATGCAGGGCTCGGACCAAAAGGCTTCCAAGGACAACATCAATGATACAATGCGCCGATACGGCTCAGACCAGTGGTCGGTATTGTGTCGGGCACATGGTAACATTATGACACCGACCCAAATGCTGCAACATCGTCCCTCATCGTACCGGCCCCTGCACGAGCCAGGTTACTCGACGTGGTCAGAACCTATCAGTCTGACGATCGGTAGTGTCAGAGTCGAGGACGGAATAGCCACAGAAGTGTGGCTGAGTGACACGTGCTGCGCAATTTGCACATGGAAGACTCCAGACGCCCAGTTGGGAGAGTTGGCACGTGTGGTCGAATTCGCTCCGTTCGCCTCTATATAGGTACCCTGGTTCGCCTCGCGTGGCGCCCGGGACGGACAGAATGCGCCGGGATACGTTTGTGTGTCGCATTGCAGTTTCCCGAGCCAGTAAAGGGAGAAGCGAGTGCGGGGAATCTCTGCTAATGTGCGATGAGGGGAGGCGGTTGTATCAGTTGAATGAGCTAATTGAGCTTACGAACGGCTTTGACTATTCTCCTAACTAGCTAAACTATACGATGAGCTTAAGTCCTATAGCCAGCAGTTTTTAGAACCCAACCAAACCCGTTAGTGGCTACAAACCGACGAGTGCTGAAGAGCACCGTTCACATTTTCCTGACCTTCGCCGAGGCCGTGCCGACTGGACCGGTCGGATCGGGGAAAATGACGCCAGCCGGCCAATTTATGAAGCGGGAATGTCGGATGGGCCCTGACGTCACGGCAAGACGCCAGGTAAAATGATTATCGTATCTAACGACATTCAGCTCGACTGTCGAGTAGATTAAACCGCCGGTAGTGCGGTGATAATTTGTGTAGCAATATCATTAATTACCCTACGTACTAAAAAACTAGTCATAAAAATCATGCACAGATATGCTCAAATATAATATTCGCAAGCAAATGCATTAAATATCACTTTAATTTAATTAAGCGTCAAGCAGTCTCCAGGCCCCATTGCAACTTCTTTCGTTTTAACCCTCGCCGGACCAATTGGTTTTCTACATACGCGCCGGCCGAGGGGGGGGGGGGGGGGGGGTACGACCCCTCCCCTCGTCATTTTGCCCCTGGTGGAGCTAGCGCGTCGCGGAAAAAACGAGCGTGTGCGCCGTTACGAGACGCAGAGATTGGTACCCGATTTTAAGGTCCTAGGTCAACCGGTGACCTCTGAGGTCAGGTCAAGTGCCCCAGGGTACGGTTCAGTTTTTGGTGAATAACTTCGCAAAAAACGGTCGCAGAGCCGCGATTTTGGCAGCATCGTGTTCGCCTTGCTCAGGCGCGTCGAATGATATACTTTTTGTTCGGTTCAGGTCAACTTAGGGTGTTGACCTCAGGTCAAGGTCAGGTCAGCACCCCCAGGTCACGAAGTTGGTCGAAAGAGGTCATGTCGCATATCATTCGATTCGGCAGGTCTTCCTGAGTCCATTGGTGGCTTTCTCGACTCGCTAGCTCAATTTGATCGGGAGTTATTGACGAAAAACTAATATGACCTTGATTACGTCATAAATGACGTCACGGAAGGTCAACATTGCAAAAGTGACGCATCTGACCTTGCAAGGAGTGCATCAAATCACGATTCTGTGTGCTTGAGATAGTTGGAGATCGTTCCCGGCGCCAGAATAGCAGTTTGAATTTTTCCCCATTGACTTGTAATGGTGAGGTCACGAAAATGACCTGACCTCATATGACCTTTAGGAAAAATCCGAGATATACAAGTTGTGAGACTCATAATGGATACTAGATCCTGCAAGTTTCATTTCCCTGTGACATCTCCTCTGGCAGTGAGGGCGTTGCGAAGTAGCGACATCTGAAGACCGTGCAGAGGTTCACTTATGACGTCATAGGTCAGTATCCTGACCTGACCCAAAAATGCGGTTGGTGTCAAAAGATGCGGCTTGGATCAAAGGTCAGGTATGCCAAGTTTCAGCTCTCTATCGCCAGCGTGTTCGGAGCTATCGCGAAAAAACTCTACGGGGGGGGCGGCACCCGCCCCTCCCCCCTCGGCCGGCGAGGGTTAAATATCCACTTAGGTCTTAGATACCTATACCTATTTCTATTTCTATTATATGTATATATATTATTTATATAATTTATTATTATATTAGGTAGGTAATATTCATTATATGATTTATAATATAGATATTGCTGCTGGATAATTGTAACTGATGCCCTTTATGTTCACAATGATATAGTGCCTAGCATGACCGTTGGTATAATTTCGTTGCTAATCGCACACTTTTATTTTAAAAATAACTCAGTTTGATGAAAAACTTCTGGGAGAATAATGGACTGAAATTTCTAGCTCGGGATGATAAAGCAGCATCTAATAAAATAACTTCGCGGAGTATCCATAAGCTGAGTACAGTCATATTTCCCGACAGACGCAACCGAATAATTCGTCCCGCACCGGAGCCCCCAGAGCGCGTGTCGCGCAGTGAGGGTCTGACGAACGGCGGTGGTGGCAAAAACAGGAAGTCGCCGCTTCAGCGCATGTGATTATAATCGGCGGCCTGGAAGATGTTTCTGTTGCTAAGTGGTGCGCTCAGTGAATATGTATAGCTACTCGATCTTCCCGACCTGTAGGTTCGATAAATGATGTGGGTAGGTGGGTACCTCTTTTTGCATGTTGCTTCCAAATGTGGGCTCTAAAGGTTTCGCTAATAGGTACATAAAGGAACGTACAGCGCCAATATAAGAACTTCGCACCTTGTCATCAATAGGCCTATTCAGTTCAGTTTTCTTATTTTTATGTTGATGCCATTAGCATCAAAGTCATTAGGTATTCATCAAAGTCATTATTTACCTACGTTAATACCTATATTGAAAGAAACTTAGTCAGCTGGAGTAATCCAACGTCCATTCAAGTTACAACTCTTTTGTGTTTTGTGACACCGAGTTAATGGACCATTTCAAGATGCCCAACACGTCAAATACCGTTAATTACCGCGGGTTCGGAGGACCGGTTCGTTTTCGGCACACCCGTGCCGTCTGTGATTTCCCACGGAATCGCTCGTGGTTTCAAGGTGATCCAGTCATTAGGTATTCATCAAAGTCATTATTTACCTACGTTAATACCTATATTGAAAGAAACTTAGTCAGCTGGAGTAATCCAACGTCCATTCAAGTTACAACTCTTTTGTGTTTTGTGACACCGAGTTAATGGACCATTTCAAGATGCCCAACACGTCAAATACCGTTAATTACCGCGGGTTCGGAGGACCGGTTCGTTTTCGGCACACCCGTGCCGTCTGTGATTTCCCACGGAATCGCTCGTGGTTTCAAGGTGATCCAGTGGTCTGACCCCGTGCGCCGCGCACGCTCCCGTTCTGATGACACTTGGCACCGCCCAAACGGGGACAGGTGACCGGCATTTACGGCCGGCTTCTCCGTAGTGGCCGGTAGACGGAGTCGGAACGCGACGGGTCATGGTCAGCCTTTCCCTTCGTGGATTCCAACAGACAAACTAACCACACATGGCTTACTTCTGGGATGTTTAGGTACAGATCATATCCATCCCGCTTCCATTCTTTGGAAACCGATGGAGTGCTTCTGCTTAGACCTGCTTCTAAGCTGCATTTTACAGATCTTATGTCTCTCTATACCGGACTGCGGGCACAAGGCAGGGATTAGCCTGACCAGACCTCCCATGGATAATATTTGAACCATGGTGTTCCCCGCTGTGGCTAACACGCTGCAGCTCGGCTCTGCTGAGCTCAGCAGCCCGGCGGGTCGAGGCTGGGCTAATGCGGTACTGCGTTCGACCTTTCAGAGCGAACCACAGTGACCTCCGACTCTTGGAGCTGTCCGACGGTGGGGGGGGGGGGGGAGAGGGGAGGAGAGATACCACCGGCAGAGTGGATGTAACGGGACTAGAGGGGATGGGATGGCGGGTCACGTCCCGTCCAAGGTCGCTCAGGTAGTCCCACAGTTACAACACAAGCCGACCGAGTTTCCGACGCGAACCAGACTCGAGGCGGCCGAAGGTGACTGATGAGCACTGGGCATTGTTACAGCCCGTAGAAACAAATAAAAATGCCTTACAAACCGATACAAGCAGTTTGGCTGCATGCAAAGCATTTGTAGTCACCTATTAACTGCAAAATGTTCAAATCCCGAAAACCTAAAATCCCCTCGATATAGATTATAGTCGATATAGAATTACTAGTGAATGGCGTTGATTATCAGCAATTCCCCGTCTGGAATTACCTCTACCTCATTTCGCTAACCTTCCATCCTCTCCCCTCCATCTACGTAACACATATGTATATCTCCTCTCCCTTTCTATTTCTCCTCTCCTGTCCCCGTTCACCTTGTGCCAGTATCGGCGGAGCGGCCCGGCTGTGACCCCACCAAGGCACCTGCCGCCTGGCCCGGCCATCCTGTCCCTACCCTGTGCCCTGTCGGTCCGAACGGCCCGGCCTGAGCAGCCCGTCCCGCTCCGGTCCCGTCCGGGGAGCGCGCCGACCACCCCTCGGATGTGAGCTGATAGGCAAATGTCGCCGAGCTGGGGACGCAGGCGGTGTAGCGGTGATCGTGTCGGCGCCAACCGACCGGCGCGGAGAGAACATGAATACGGGCCGGCGAGGGTCGGCCGGCCGCCGCTGGACGCCGGTGCAGTGCAGTCTGACCCGTCACCGCTGGGCCAGCGGAGACCGGGCCGCAGCCGGGGCCACCGCAGCCACTGTGACCGGGGCCGCCGCCACTCCACAGAGGCTGGGCCGTGACTGGCTATTACCGCTCAGCCAGCTCCCGGCCTCATCTGCAGCGAACGGTGCGAGAAAAGCCGACACCGTCATGGGGCTTTGTCGTATTTTCAAATGTTTGCTTCCTGGCTGAAACTGTTTGGAGATGTATTAACGAGTGAGCTGACCTTCGCTCCTCCTCCTTCACCCTCTCTCCTCGCTCACTCTCACTCTCTACGGACACAGGAATGCAGCGCATAGCGAAGGATACCTGGCTTGATGGCGTTTTAGTACGTGGCTGCGAACTCGGGATAATTGAAGCGGCCTTCGTGTCAAGGCCGACTAGTGCCAATTGGAGACATTCATATGGCTTGGCACTTGACATTCGCAGGCTTCTCTGTCCGCATTCAGAAATCATTCATGGTTTGTTTATTTAATAAATCAATGACTTACAAACGAAAGGAAATCAAATATTCTCGTCAAAATAGAAGAAACCTTCCCTTGTATGAACACTGAGCACCAAATGCAATATAGGTAAAGGAGACATTTACTGAATAAATCGTTGAACGTTTACGATGGCTAATATGTTTGTTAATTATGTCGGCATTTTTATACTTTGTTTATGTCACACAGGCCGTTCCTCGAATCGGTAAATTGCTGATGAGTCACTATTTTTCTGGAGGGTGTATTTTTTTACTCAAGTTTACGCTCCTAATCTTCTATAGATAAATGATTAACGCCGAATACGACAAACGCTATCTACTGAAGCTTGACCTTGGATTTCTTGACGGTAGAAATATATCCCCTTCAGCTTTCAAAAAGAGAAATTAACGCGATATCTCTTCAGTACATCCACAGGCCCGGCCAATGGCAGATGACCTCACACGACTGCCTGGCGGGGGAGGGCGGGTATTAAACCCCGAGGAATGTGTGACGTCACTCTGGCTACCGCCGGGGGACGCTGATGGGCTACGGACCGATCAGATCTGCCGGTAAGACCCTGTGACAGACCGGATCATCAGACCGGATCAACGGGTGGCATATACCACCGATGTCTGGTTTTGTAGTAGCCAAACCGGCCCCCGAGTATACAAGCCACAGTCGTGTAATCCTGAGCTGAACGGCAGGTGATGCAGGTAACGTGAGTGCTGAGCGGCTCCTCCCATTGGCCGTTATAAACGTTCAGTAATCACGATGCCAAGTCTCGCAGACAGTGAGCTTGCATCTGTACCGCAAGATAGCCCAACGATCAAATCATGGACAAATGAGTTGGCCTAGAGCGCGTCTGGGGCCCTGGGACTCGGCTAAGTCGTGATGCGCCAGTGGGCCATGGTGCGGACTAGCCGTGTTTTTCGGCACACTCTCCAAGAGTCGTATCGGTAGCTCGGTCTTGAAATCGAAACCATCACGTGCCGGATTTCGGGCTCGGCGGTTCCTTCCGGCGCAGAGGTCGGATCGACAGCAGTGCAGGTAGCAGACCTGTAGCTTACAGAACGGGTGCGGAAACTGCGCCGTTTACACACCGAGGCAGCGTTCTGCACCCTTTTGAATGACAAGGCTGCGACTGTGGACCCGCGTGAGCCATTGTCTTCCGCTCAGTTGCACGCTTTGTGCAAACATAGCTATTATTATCGGCTAGCTGCAGCTGTAAGGTCGCCGAAAGACGCAGAAGTAAACATGCACTATTCAGTCTTCGGAGTTTGGAGAACAGACATTTATTCTAAAAATTACTGCACACCGGACGTATAAGTCGTAACAGTTTCTCGCCTATTTTTGTAATATACATATTACATAGCTGTTTTATATCACAAATTAATATGACTTGGCCATTTTCTTGTGTTCCTTATTGAATTCTGCATAGACGTCTTCTCCTATCGTTTACGTGTCACCCATTTCCTGGAGACGTTCACCCGTTGTCAGCAGCCCGGAGGCGTCTATCGCCGGGCACGTGGTTGGTAATCGGCCGGGGCAGGCGGAGGCACGCGTCCGCTCGCGCTCATGGTTAATGGAGCGACAAGCCGACCGGGCCGGACTGGCGTCTGCACGATCCGTGCCAAACTCAAGGAGAACAATAGAAGGGAGCTCCCGCCTGGCGAGACCTCACTGCAAGGGGCGACGAAAAACGGAGCCGAGGGACGAGAGACGGACAAGGAGCGAGGAACAGTGTTAGTTGGAAACTCAAACAGCATTACGAAAAGTGAATTAACAGCATTTATTGGGAGATCATATTATTCCGATTGGTAGGCGTGAAAGTGAAATAAGAATTGTCGGTTAAGCGTATTTGTTAATGTTTCGCGTCCCAGCGCCCGCTTTTTAATAAAGGTATGATAACGTGCTTTGGAGGACGATATGTTTCGAGCGGCGCATTACATATAATTATCAGAAGCCCGAACCTAAAGTATGAAGGTACCTAATGGTGGTCGGCCCGAACAGAGTGAGCGAAACCTTTTTTTCATATACTTACCTAAAAACCTACGAGCTTTAGTCTCACATTGCTCCAGACTCCCTCTCCTATGACTTTTGAAAACTATTTTGAGATATATCGATCAGGGCTCAGTCAGCATCGAAAAGGTGTTAGGTGTTAGGCTAGTGTTAGCCTTGCGATTGGCCTCTGGCTGCTGAAGCCTCGCCTATTCCGTGGCTGCTGAATCCACTCAACCGAAAGAACATGCTCTGATATTTGAGGCTAGCCCTGACCGGATGCCAGCGCTGTCAACTTGCCCCACTTCTCAATGTCATTCAAGATTGTGGGTGTGACTGCCGTCGACCGATTTAGCGATCATGACTCGTGACTGAATCGTGATGTAACCGTAAGCACGCCTAAGACATCTGAGTCACGAGGTAGAAACATGCCACGACACTTGCCTCTGGACGCCGACAGTCACGAAGCCACCTAGAGTGTGGGTGGGGAATGCGTTTACCCTTCATAGCCACCTTGGCGTCTGAGAGGTCACGCTGAGTCATTCCAGCGATCGGCCTGACCCGCAAGCTGCCGGGGGTGAAGGCTAAGGTCACCGGTCAAAGCCGTCACGATCAGGGTGTCGGTGAAGCGGTGCCGGCTCAGACAGGTTTTTGCTATCGTGATCCCACTAGCGTGATGGTGAGGAAATGGTCGGTAAGCCCCCCCCCCCTGGCGAGGGGGCAGTTCCTTCTGGTTACTGGTAACGGTGTGTTCAGCCAGTAAACGACGCCGTATTTTCTTACTGCAAGAATGTTGCAGGCATGTTACAGGGCATACAGCGCCTCCCTATATGTCGGTATCGATTAAAATCTGCATGAGGAAAGTTTGAGGTGTTTCACTTTTTACTATTTCATAAGGACAATGGCGCTTCCCTGTCCTACATCTTTATGCCGATGTGAGGTCGCCACATGGTGTAGCCTTGGCACTGCAGTACCTTTCCACTTTCAAAGCCGCACATGTCTAGGCAGGGAGGCGACAGGAATCGGTCGTTGGCTGAGGATTTGCAATAATGTATTGCCCGATTTGTCCAGCGACGACACATATCATTCGCTTCGCTCGCATGAGGCAGGAGCAAAATATGCCGCCATGCTGCATCGCAAAGTAACGCTATTCGTGTAGCTAGATATCAGTCCATTCGTTCGCACGCATTTACCAATGTCAAGCCTCAGGCCTCCATCGGATATTTAAAGCGATTAATTAGTGTTACGCCGAAAATATACGTATTTCACCAGCTTGCCAGTCTGGATGGTGACAACCGGTAAGTAGTCGCAGCTAGCGGGGAAAGCGGTGGTCGTTGGCTCGGTGACAGACCGATCCTGTCAATTCAATCAGATATGAAGAGCCCGTGAGCGTCGCACCCGTGCGATTGCAGTGAATGCAAGGTCTTTCAGCATACCCAAACGTGTAACGGTCGTATCTGATGGGACACCCCGATCGCTATGACGCCCTAACAAGAGTCAGTATCGTTCCCCGTCCCTCGGCAGGCCCAGCTCACCTGTTTGCCGGGCTCACGGCCCTCGGCGGAGCTCTCCACCACGCCCTCCATGCCGGCGCTGACGGTCACCCCTCTGCCGGTGAAGTACTCCCACCCGATCTCGTCCACCACCAGCAGACTGACTCTCTCCGGGTTCTTCTTGATGGCGGCCACCACGGCCGTGTGGCCCCAGCCGGAGATGGGCGCCCCGTTCACCTCCACGATCCGGTCCCGGTCGCGCAGGCCGCACGCCTCCGCCGGAGAGCCGGCGTCCACCTTGCCGATGTGCTGGCCGGGCCGGGCCTTCTCCGTGTGCAGGCTGAACCCATAGCCGTCGAACGTGGGCCACTTGACCAGGTGGCAGAGCCGCGGCGGCGACGGTGCGGAGCTCGCCTCGGACATGCTGGACGCTCGAGGAGGTGCGGGAGCGGCGCTGGAGGGACTGCCGGCCGGCCGGCGGCGGCGACCGCGCCGACCGCCCCCGAGCGCTGCCGATTGTGGCGCCGCGCGGCGGCAGGAGTGGGTAGCTGAGACCTCTGGAGACGGTACGGCCCGGGCACGGCTGGTTTGGACGGGGGTCTTGGGGTCGGCCGTGAAATGGGGCAGAGGTGCCAAAAACGGGTCCCGTGGTGACCATAACGTCTAAATGGGTTGTTTTACTTACGCGCCGTGTGCCGTTTTAACTATAAACCTGCTTTCATTACGGAGCGAGCGAAGCGAGCGGAGTCTCATACTGAATTAAGGGAAAATCCTGAGTATGAGCGGCCGGCCGGCCGGCCGGGGCCGGCCGGCCGGCCGGCCGTGGGGACGCTCTTCAAAAGCTAATATCTTAGGAACGGGACATCCGATTGACAAGCGGTCTTCTTTACTGAATGTCACTTGGACGTAAAAGTTATGTGGTGTGATGGCCACCATGCGTTCTTGCCAACTACCGCACGTGGCGCGTGGTAAAGTTGGACATTTTTTAAGAACCCCCAAAATTGCAACCTCAATAACGGCACAACGGTTGGGCCGATTGAATTGAAACTCGGTACACAGTTAGGTCTCCATCAGATAATTCATCTGCATGTGTTAAGGTTGGGGTGCTACATGCAGGAATCAAACTAGTAGACGATATAGTTGATTCTAGCGGAAATATATTGTCATTTGATGAAATCAAAAGAGTACATCCTAATGTTAAGTCAAACTTATTTACAATTCAGAGTGTAACATGTGCTATACCTGGATCATGGAAAAGGATTCTACGTCAAAGAGATGAAGGAAGGAATAAGACAGATCCAAAAAAGTTGTCTGTAATGGTAAAAGAACAGTACTGCGAACTCGAAACATGCAAATGCAATCATTTCTATAAAAGCATAGAATATAGAATATCTAAGCCAGCCGCCGTAAGCAGATGGGAGCACTATGGAGTGTGTCCGGAGTCCTGGCGAAAAGTCTTCGAAATACCGTATAAATGCACAAAATCTACGCGGCTTCAATCTCTACATTTTCGGATAATTAACAGGTACATTCCAACGAGAAAGTATCTATGTGCAAGAGGAGTGGTCGGTAGTCCACGGTGCCTAAAATGTTTTGAAGTTGATGATTTTGAGCACTTCTTTTATGGATGTACCGACGTAAAAATAATATGGGAAAAAGTAATTTCTCAACTGAGAAGTAAATGTCGCTTACCTAGAAATTTTAACACCTATCAGTCAGTTATTCTTGGGAATCCCGCGGCACCACCACTTGTGAACCTGATTCTACTATTAACAAAACAGTACATAGTCAATTGTAAACTGGGCAATGGTGATAGATTGCGAACGCCGAAAATCGCGTGCGTCACGGAAATTATAAATGGGGAAGCAAAAGTGGAAAAAATTGTAGCAAAAAAGAAAAACAAAATTGCCGAATATTGTGAAAAGTGGGGTTTAATATTGGATGAAAGAGGAAACGTGGCTATTGCGGATAACTCGGCACTCTATCGCGCTGCTGTCACTGGCTGGTGAGGCGGGGGCGGTGCGGGATGGGGGCGACGGCCCGCCCGAGGCACCGGGGAGGCATCACGCAGCCCTCCCCGGCCGGGGAGAAAACCCTCAGCTCTCCCCGGGGTCGGCGCGGTAGTGGCGGGTGCACCGCCCGACCTGCCCGGGCGGGCCGGGCGGCGAATAGGAAATATGCTGTTTTTTTCTTTTATTTGTATGTTTGTCATAACTTTAAATCATTTAGAGAGTGCCTGTGTGTTCGTGTGATCATTGGTGTGTATAATAAACGTTATAAAAAAAAAAGGTTGGGGTGCTACAGCACGTGCGCACGTGCAGGGGGCGCTCCCAGATCTCGAGAATGGCTGGGCCGATTGCGCTCAAATTTGGTACACGGTTGGGGACCAGTTAGTAGGGTGCCGTGCAAAAGTCAGTTTGGACCCCGCTTGCACGTGCGCACGTGCAGTGTGCCGCTTCCAGATCTCGAGAACGGCTAGGCCGATTGCGCTGAAATTTGGCACATCGCTAAAGACCGGTTAGTAGGGTGCAGTGCACAAGTTAGTTGGAGGTACCCCCTCGCAATTTCGCACGTGCAAGGCCCATCCTGTCGCTCGCTCCGTTGGTCGCCCAAAAGGCGTTTTACTGGTTTTAGCAGAAAATAAGTGTTTGTTTCTCCAGTAGAAGGACAATGAGTTCGTTTCTCATCATCTTCCATTACCGTTCAATTTTATATATGCATTTTTTTAAAGTATGTTTCTCGGAAATCGGCACTATTGGCGTAGCAGTATCGGTATGATGATCTTTTACCCAATCAACCAATAGTTACTTGAACCGTTTAGTTGCGAGGAGACCGTAGGTGAAGATCGCGATGGATAGCCGGTTCGATATTTTTTCCAGAGCTGTAATACACATCGGATCAATATCTCTAGCTCCGATTAAGTCGAAATGAAGCATGGTGTGTGCATTGTACGGAAGGCTGCGTTTTTTTTATACAATTTTAATGATAAAAATATTATACTGTCTCCACTATGTCGCTTTCTTTAAGCATGAATATTAATTGCAGCTGTTGGCGTGTTACGTTTTTCCCTACTAAGCGACAAGCTCATATAGCTCAGCCCAGGGTTCCGCCTTTTTTTTTACAAAGAACAGGTGAATTGGTGTCTCTGACCTTGGCGGGAGTGACTCGCCATTTGATCGTCCCCTCTTTAACATTTGGCCTCGACTGGCGGTCCACAAAAACCCGACCATTTCTGACGGCGAGACTGGAATTAATGTGCCCGTCCGAAGCTGATGTCACACTCGATGTGGAGGGAAAACATTCGTTGAAGAATGGCGATAGCGCAATGGAAATCGAAATATGTGTGCATGAAGCCCTCCTTGGTCAGCAATGGTGAGCTTTAGACGTAATTTATCGCATACCTTATAGAATACTAAGTGAGCTAAGTGAATAAAGAAAAAATCGAACGGACGACCTTTCCCGTCTTTTCCAAGGACAATATAATCAGTAAACCATAAAGCAAAAGTCATAAGTTCATCGAACCAAAATCAGTTAAAAGACATCTAGCGAAGCACAAATAAATCGTTTCCTCCTGAAAACGGTTATTAGTTCAGAACTGAAAGTTTTGTTATTACACGACGGTGTCTCAATATCTCAAGTGGTCCGTTTACTTCAGCGACCTTAGCAGTTCCAGTAGTACTGACACGCAGGCTAGAAAATTCTACTGCAGAGGCACCCGTAACCGGCCTCTCAGCTGCCAATTTACTGGTGCGAATCACTCCGCATATCCGCACCATCCCAATCGCGTTTCATCGTCAAGTTCAACAAATTCCAATCCATTTCAATCACAGACATTTATTGCGACATCCTAAGCCAGCCGCGTCTCCGGGCCGACCTACCAGTTCCAACCAGCCCGTCACTCCCCCGCTCAGTTCTGTTCACAACCAACACAGATCGCCAGAATCGGCTGCTCGTCGTTATCAATGTTAATATCGGCCGATCCGTCTCCATTCACCTCCACTGTGGTAGCGCAGTTGTCGATCAGGTTACAGTAGGATCCCGTCGGCAGACCGGTCTGCAGGTGCTCGTGCATCGAGGAGCCCTTGGCCATGGCGAAGAAGCCGACCTGACCACGGGAGAAGGCCACCGCCTGTCCGTTGTTCCAGTAGTTGGCCATCTCCGTGCCGGTGACGGCGTTCCGGAAGGTCACCATGTTACTGATGGCCGGCCACCGGTGCTCGCACACCCAGCCGCCGCCGCACGAGCCGTCATCGTTGATGACGACGTCAGCGGTGCTGCGGGGGAGGGGTATAAGGTGAGTGTGGGTTGGTTTGGAAGTTGATGCAGGACCGCGCTCGGCAATGATGAATGCTTTTTCAGGGAGCACCAGCTGCGATAGTCGTTCCGCCGGATATATCAGTTCACTTGGAGAGTGGAAACGTCCCCTGCTTTTTTAAAGCAATTTAATTCAGAAAGAAAATAATATAACACAAAAAACATTGCATAGGTATAATTCATCTCAAACAAGTAAAACTTGCCATCATTAATTGCTAGCTATTTTAAATCTTTTTGTCTTATTTTCATTGATTTTCTTAATTTTCCATGTTAAAGATATCGCAGTGAGTTGGCCTATACAGACAGGTGGCACCCCTCCTACCTCCAGTCGTCGTTGTGAGGCGGGCCCTGGTCCGTATCGTCGCCGAAGTAGTAGCTGGACATAACACGCGTGAAGCCGTACGGGTAGGCCAGCATAAAGGCCACGCCCTGTTTGTACTCCTTGGGAGTCTGGTGCGTGATCACATCGGCGTTGCCGGCGTGTCCTGAAACGGTGGAGAAGGGAGGCGGGAGGGAGCTGATGGTGATGGACGATGGGCTATATTTTGCGTGGCGCATAGTGCATACTGCATAGCGCTACCGACGATGGCCTGTATTTTGCGCAGTGCATAGTGCATGCTGCATAGCGCCACGGTTGGCACACTGATAAGTACTTAACCCTCGCATGTGTGCGGCGTTTTCCAGCTTCTAATGTGTGTGTGGGGGGGGGGGGGGGTCGGTTGGACCCCCCTTGCCGTTTGGCCCCTGATCGAGCTAGAGCTTCGCGGAAAAAACGAGCATGTTGCCCGTGACGAGAGGAAGCCGATGATACCCAATTTTAAGGTCCTAGGTCATTGGTTGACCTTCCAGGTCAGGTCAATGACCCAAAGTCGGGAAAATCGGGACCTATTAGAAAGTCGTAAAGAGTGGCTGCTAAGAGGTTTTTCGGGGTGCTGATCACGAATATCGTGTTAGTTTTGATCACAGTTGATGTCTTTAAGCATTTAGACCAGGTCGGGTCAGGTCAGGTCAGGTCAACCAGTAGGTGTCGTGGCGGGTATTCGTAGTACGTGTCAACCGCCTCTGACAGCTTCGTAACATGTTACGAAGGCACCAAAACTACTTCGTAAATATTCAAATGGTTGCTAAATTCGAATTCAGCTCCAAAAACTAGCCTAGAAACATGTAAAACTCGAAAAAAGTGAACCGAGGTCACCCGAGGTCACCAAAGGTCAATGACCTGACCTGACCTTCAGGTGACCTTGACACCCACCCTAATGCATGGGAGCAACATCAAATCACATGTTTGAACGTTTGAAATCACGAAAAGCTTGCAACCGCGCGGCTAATGCGAGCCGACGTACGCCGAATCGCGATTCCGGCCAAACATGGTCTCGGAAAAGAGGTCACAGGTCAAAGGTCATTTGGGTCAGGGTCATGAAATTTTCAGGGTAGGTGTAAAATTGATCAATGCGAGGGTACTGAAAGTTTCGTCGCGATCGGCCGCTTTTTACGCGATTTATTTGCGAAAAACCATGGGGGGGGGTCCATCCGACCCCCCCCCCCTCCCTACACATGCGAGGGTTAAGCTAGGCCGAAAACAAACAGCTTAGGTTTTACAGCTAGCCTGTTCCGCACGTCGTTCCATAATCCGCATTCCGCAGCATCCGATGAGCGGAAACTAGTGACAATACCTTCGACGGGGTCCAACAACCATTCCCGTCGCTCGACTTATATCCGTCTAAAGCGACAAAGCACACTGACCTCGCTGGGTGTCGTGGTTGTCGACGAAGACGAAGGCCTTGTCGGACTCGGCCATGCCCCAGCCGTAATCGACCACGTTACTCAGCTGGTTGAAGTCCTTGATGCCCCAGGCGATTTTCATCGGATAACGGAACTCGGTCGGACGACCTGACGGCAAACGGGAGGGGATCGTCTGATAAATCGAGAAAGAGTGATTGAATATATCGCTAAAAACGCATTCTGTTATATTAAAACACAATTTTTCATCGCATGATCGTATTGCATGCACCCTCTGCTGATTTTCCAGGTGCTGTCTGAATTACTGACCGATGTCGTAGTACTGCTGAACGGTGACGGCGCCGTCGTTGCGATCAATGACCTCGTGAAAAATGAAGGGCTTCGAGTCTCCGACGTTGTTCAGACGGTCGATGATGACTGCCAGGTCCTGTGAGAACGTCAATGAGTCAGGGGACGGCCGGGACTGGAACACTACGATCAATTTGGGGACCAGCCACGCCGACACGAGACACCTCAGTGATACCCTAACGATACCGCCTCAGACAGTGATATCGCCAAAGATCCGACCGAGGGCTGGCGACTCAAATTACTCACCATGCTAATGAATTCATGCCTTTTGTCTGTCTAACTCGCTATATGTCAGTCCCCGTTAAAGTATGTACGATAAAAAGTACGATAAAAGTAAGTACTTGTACGTACTTTTATCCCATAACTTCGAACCTTCTGCCTCTCTATCCACTTGTCATGCACTCTCTCCTCTGTCGTCCTCCCTCTCCCCCGTCTCCCTATACTCGTCAAGTCAGTCCTCTAGGCACTAGTCACCATCACCACTCACGTCGGGCCACATGTGCTTGGAAGCGTCGAAGCGGAATCCGCTGACTCCCATGTCCACCAGACGGTTGAGGTAGTCGACAATGCGCTCCTGGGTGTGCGGCAGGCTCTGGTCCAGGTCCGTCAGGCCCACCAGCGTGCAGTTCTTGACGTTATCCATATCGGAGTAGTTGTTGACGTTGCCTGGAGGGAGGTGAGTAGGTCAGAACTCACGGCTGTTAGTGAAGTGGTTGGTACTCGTGTATAGGTTGAAGGACACGCTGTATTGCGTGGTTTTTATGCTCATCTCTGGCTTTATTCACAGGCTGGGTCATTCACGCTGTTGACCTTTTAGCGTTACAGTGCAACCATCATCCTCTTTTGTGTGAAATGACTAGCATCTCTTCTGTTTCCCACGGTATAGCGACTGACACACAGACACACAAAAAGAAAATCGTTAATCATGCAAGCAAACACACGCACACACACTGTATCACTCCGGAGAAAAGGTACCCTCCCGTCACTCAATGTCCCGTAAAGCGGGCATCCTCTACCGTCATGGACTGAGGTACCCGCCGCTTCACTGATGCTGACCAATTCTCACCGATTATTTCGCATAGGTATGACATCGATGCTCACTGGACACTGATAATCTTACCCGGCAACGACACCCACCAATTCTACGAGACACTACCCACATCCGGCAAGGATACTCACCGATACTAACACCCTACAACGACCGTCTCTAATGCTAACCGAACCTCATCAACGCTCACCGATGTTTACCAAAACTCACATTCGTCACCAACACGTCACCACTCACCGTCTGTCGAAGGGCACTTGGAGCGCGGGTTGAAGTCGTCGACCGTGTACGGTACAGCCGGGAAGTCGTGATCGTCCGAGTTGAAGCTGGAGCCGGCGATACCCTGGCCGGAGCGGCCCAGCCCGGCCATGTGGTTCAGCACGGCGTCCACGTAGATACTGAGGGTGGGAGATATTGGTTGGTTAGCGGTCGGGTGCGTGTAGCGGGACGGTTCACATGAATGTTTCTGAAATACTCGTAAGATGATGTGTCGCAGAGTTTGGTGGGTGTGGATACGAGTGTGCGCGTGGGTGCAAAGTGAAATGGGGCGCGGTACCGGGCGGGTTGCTAGTATTTTTATGGATCTAGCACCGTGGCCCTGCGTTGAGGAGTCATCAGTCCGCGTTGCTAACTATATCTGCTGCCGTTGCTGAGGTCTGGTGTGACGGTTTCTGCAGTGTCTTTGCCTGTTCGGGTCGGTAGTCTGTGCGCCCAGCAGAGCCGTCCGTTCAGCACACGGTGTATTACACAACTGCCAGCCCCCCGCTCGTAACTCGGGGTTGGCCGGCACACGCACAACCGTACGGCGACGCCACCGCTAGGTGTCGTGCCGTACTGACACAGATGTCGCGCGAGTCGCCATCGCGCCACAACACCACCCCCCACCGACTTTACATCTGCATCACCAGGCGATCCGGGGGTCGGCGCACCCGGGTCGATCGACGTAACGGTTCAGCTTCTCTTCTCTGACCTCCGTCTTGTTTTCTTTCCTGCTCTTCTTTTCTTTCTTCCTCTCCGTCTGCTCTTCCATCTTGCCGTTTTCTCTGGTCATTTCCTCTCTGATCTTTCTGTTCTTGTCTCATCTCCCCTCTTTCTTGTTGATCTGTTCTTTCTCCCCCATCATTTCTTTCTTCCCTTTCTTCGGGGTTTTCAGCTTGACGTTCTTCATGATCATCTCTTCTTTGTTCTCTCTCTTCTTGTTTCTTGTCTGGGTTTCTTTCTGGGCGGTCTTCCCTTCCGTCCTCTTTCTCCCGTCCTCTCTCTTGGCTCTGATCCCCTCTCTCGTGCTCTGTCTTCTCACCAGCGTGGATAAGCTGGTCTGCGTGTCGGCTCCATACGGCTACGCCAACGTCTACTTCGTACGATACTGGTCCTGTCTTTGCTAGTATCTTCCCTCGTTTCCACTTGGGGCCTGAGTAGCTTCTCGCCCACACTTCTTGACCTTCTTGGAAGAGGCGGTGGCGTCCACCAGCATCTTCGATCATCTTTTCTTGAGCACCTCTGGCTGTTGTTCTGTCATCCGGTCGGAGGAGGTCGAGACGAGTCCGGATGTTCCGTCCGTATAGCATCTCTGCTGGGGTTTTGCCAGTAGCAGCCACTGGTGTAGAGCGGTGATTCATCAGGAACCGGGCCAGTCGCTGCTCTACACTGCCTCCTTCTCCTTGATTGGCCCGTAGACCGTTCTTGACCGTTTGTACGGCTTTTTCGGCTGCACCATTGCTGCTTGGGTGAAACGGCGCTACTCGGATGTGCCTGATTCCGTTTTTCTTAGTGAACGTCGCAAACTCTTCCGACGTGAACTGTGTCCCGTTGTCTGTTACGATCTGTATGGGCAGACCGTGTCGGGCGAACAGCTTCCTCAGCTCCTCAACAGTTCGTTCCGCAGTCGTCGACTTCATTGCCGTGACTTCGATCCATTTGGAGAAACTGTCTGATACGATCAGCAGCATCGTTCCCTGAAATGGACCGGCGAAGTCAACATGTATGCGCTCCCAGGGGCCTGAGGTCTGCTCCCATGGGTGCAGAGTCGACTTTGGTGGCGCTGCTCTCTTCTCCGTACAGGCTGAACAGCTGCTGGCCAGATTTTCCAGCTCACGGTCCAAACCTGGCCACCACACATGTCGACGGGCCAGCTGCTTCATTTTGCTGCTTCCCATGTGTCCTGAGTGTATTTCTTGCAGCACTCTGTTCCTCAGTTTGGTCGGCACCACCAGTCTTCCTCCCCAGAGTACGCAGTCGCCCTCCGTGGACAACTCGTCCTGCCTCAGGTGGAACGGCTTCAGCGTAGGATCCACCGTTCCCGGCCATCCGGTGCGCACGTACTGGAGTACTCTCCCGAGTACTGGGTCCCGGCGAGTGTACACCTCCACTTCTCTTGCGTGCAGCGTGGGCCCCTCGTTCTCCGTGTTCAGTACCTGGGGGCACCATTCCTCTTCCTCCTCTTGTGTGACGATGCTCAAAGGCAGTCTCGACAGTGTGTCGGCGATTCCCATCGCATCTGTTCTGCGCAGCTCGACTTCATACGAATGCGCGGCCAGCTGTAGCGCATATCGCTGCATCCGTGCCGCAGCCAGGCTCGGCAGCTCCCGGTGTGGGTTGAGAATCATGGACAGCGCTCTGTTGTCAGTGACCAGACAGAAGCGGCGTCCATACAAGTACTGATGGAATTTCTTGATTCCAAAGGAAACGGCCAGGGCTTCCTTTTCCAGCACTGAGTACTTTTTCTCAGTTGCAGTCAGTGTTCTTGAGCTGTAGCACACCGGGCGCTCCAGTCCGTCAGACAGGACGTGGACCAGTACTGCGCCTACTCCGACTGAGCTGGCATCAGTGATCAGTTTGATGGGCATCTGGGGATCGTACCTCATCAAAACTTTGTCACTGGACAGCACTCGTTGGATCTCTTCCACCGCTCTCTTGCATTCACGGCTCCACTTCCACTTCACCTCCTTCTTCAACAGGTTGTGGAGAGGCGCCAGAGTTGTTGCCATGTTCGGGATCAGTCTCTGGTAGTAGTTCAAACTACCGAGCAGTGTTCGCAGTTCACTGACGTCCTTGGGCTCTGGCATCTTCAGGAGAGCCTCGATCTTCTCCGGCACTGGCTTCAGGTCGGTCCCTGAGATTCGCCATCCCAGATACGTCACCTCCTTGAGGTTGAACTGGCACTTGCTCCTCTTCAGTCGCACTCCATGTTCGGTCAGTCTCGCCAGCACCTGGTCCAGCGACTTCAACATCTCCTCCTCTGTGCCTCCCATCACCAGTAGGTCATCCAAGTAGTTGACACATCCATCCAGCCCCTCCAAGATTCGGTCCATGGCTGACTGGAAGATGTCGCCACAGGAACTTATCCCGAACGGTAGCCTGTTCATGCGGAGAAGTCCCTTGTGTGTGGTGACAGTCGTCATGTTCTTCGACTCGTCGTCGAGCTCCATTTGCAGGTACGCATCCTTTAGATCTAGTTTGCAGAATCTCTTCCCTTTTATCCTCACGAACAGCTCTTCAGGTGTGGGCAGAGGGTGCTTCTGTACCATCAGCTGCGGGTTGACTGTGATCCTGTAGTCTGCAGCTAGTCGGACACTTCCATCCGCCTTCGGCACAGGGACTAGCGGCGTTCCCCAGCCTGTGTTGAGGTTCCTGTCCACTTTCTCTGCCACACCTTCTCTCAGCCACCTGTCCAGCTCTGCGTCCACCTTCTGAAACAGAGCATGTGGGACTTGTCTCGCTTTCCGGAACACCGGTCTTGCATCTGGCTTCAGTGTCAGATGAGCTTTGATGCTGACGCAGCCCAGTCCCTCTTCAAACACTTCCTTGTGTTTCTCCAGAACCACTTCCAGCGGCTCTTGTTCCATCATGTTGACTCCAACACATCCTGGCACTGTCACCTTCAACGCCTGAATCCAGTCTCTTCCCATCAGGGCCCTCCTTCCAGTCATGTCGGCCACCACCAAGCACAGCTTCCTTCGCACTCCCTGCTCAGCGGAGACTTCCACATCTGCTTCACCGACCAGTGGAATCATGTGACCTGTGAAGGACTTCAGCTTCAGCTGTGATGGTCGGATGTCGAGACCAGGTACCATCATGTCCCGGCTCACAATTGACACTGGGGATCCTGTGTCAATCAGCATCTGCAGCCCACATCCATTGACCAGCACGGACACCTTGCTTCCCCTTTCCTGCAGGTCCTGCTTGTCACTGACTTCCCACAGGTTCAGGTGCATCTCTGTCTGTCCTGCTTCGACTGCATGAACTCTGCCGCCCTTTTGCTGTCTTGGCATCCTAGTCTTGCAGCATCGAGCAAAATGGCCCATACCACCACATTTTGCACACTTCTTACCACGTGCTGGGCACCGCGGACCACCAGCACTGTGTCCACGGAACTGACAGGCCGTGCAGGGCTTGTCCTCCTGTCCTCTGTTGTCCTTAATGTGAGTGGCTGACCTGGTCTTCTGCATCAGATGCACATGCTGCTCTTCCTGGTGGCTCATGTTCTTCAACATGTTCACAGTATGACCCTCTGACTGTGATGACATTTCTTGTGTCACACGTCTGGTTTCCTCCCACACTCTTGCCATGGTCAGAACCTGCTGCAGAGAAAGGTTGTCACCCTTCTCCAGCGCTTGATGAAGCAGCTTCTCTTGTAGGCTGGGCTTACATCCAGCGATAGCTCGGTCACGCACTTCACTATCTAATCCTGAGCCACTGAAGCCACATTTGCGTCCTTGGATCTTGAGACGGCTGACATACTGCTCAAACTTCTCATCCACCTTCATAGTCATCTTGTGGAACGTCATTCTCTCAGCGATCACATTTTTCTCTGGAGCTAAATAGCTTTTAAATCGTTGTACAGCCTCCTTGAAACAATCAGTCTCACCTGGCATCACCACGGGCTGCAGTGACTCAAAAATGCTCTGATAATCTGGCCCCATCATGTGCAACAGGACAGCCTTCTTCCTTTCTGGGCTGGATATATCTGCTGCTATGAGATATATTTCGAGACTTCCGACCCACTTTTGAAAGTCATCACCAGCTACATATTCCTTAACACCCGGCAATCCAATTCCAGCCATGTTCTGCTCACTGTTCTTCTGTAATTCACTTTTGGCGCCTTGCCAGACCGCTCTCCGTCCCTCTCTTGTAAACAACTTTCACTGACCTTGGCCGCCAACCCACACAAACAGCTGACTGGTCAGCTGATTTCCTCTGACCGCTCTGACCAGTCGACCCGAGATCAGCTGTTTCACCTCACGAACAGCTGATTCGTCAGCTGATTCCCGATCACCAGCCGACCCGCAATCAGCTGTTTCGCCACGTCCTCACCACCGCCCTGTCCACATGGCACACCGCAAAAACTCAATTATTTCCCGTCGCCGGTATTTCTTCTCTTGTATGGCCTTCCCTGCATTCCACCAACAGGCGCGTAAAATCCGTTTCTTCTTCTCGTCGCCACGTGCAGTGTCTTTGCCTGTTCGGGTCGGTAGTCTGTGCGCCCAGCAGAGCCGTCCGTTCAGCACACGGTGTATTACACAACTGCCAGCCCCCCGCTCGTAACTCGGGGTTGGCCGGCACACGCACAACCGTACGGCGACGCCACCGCTAGGTGTCGTGCCGTACTGACACAGATGTCGCGCGAGTCGCCATCGCGCCACAACAGTTTCAGTGTGTCATTTTTAGTTGATGCTCTCAACTCGAGCTGGAGTCTCACCACGAGTGAAAGTGCTGCCTCGCAGTCCGGTTAGATGCTTTATTATTGGCCCGAGTCGCTGAAACGGCGTGTCATCGTTGCCTTTGATAGAACCATGGGACGTGATATGAAGTCGCGGGGTCGGGTGACTGGGTGAATGGCGACCTCAATGACATGATGTGGTTTCGTTAGTGACAAAACCTCATTATTTATTCAAGCCGAGCGCCATTGCCAAATGCTGTGGAGGAGACTCATTATCGCTCAAAGGGAAGCTATTACAGGGATGCGGAGCCGTGGAAATTTCAGACGGCTCCGGCTCCGGCTCCGGCTCCTGAGAAAAAAATCGGCTCCGGCTCCGGCTCCGGCTCCGGGTGAAATGTTATGGCGGCTCCGGCTCCGGCTCCGGCTCCGAGTAAAATGGTCCGGCTCCGGCGGCTCCGGCTCCGGCTCCGGCGGCTCCGGCTCCGACTCAGTACATCCCCTACGCAATCAATTAAATACGGGTGGAAGAAAAATTGGATTGGTTATACGCGTTACTCTTTGCCATGACCGGCTCACCGCGTCCCCGCGCAAACGCACCTCGGAGAGAACTGGCAGAACAAAGGGCTAGGAAGCGATGGCATTGGAAACGCAGTCGCCGCGAATCGGAGTTCAGTGAACCATCGTAAGCTGACACCCGTCTCGGCTGCATTGGGGGGTGAGGGGTGGGGGGTGTGTGGGATGAGACGGTGCTGGGAGTCGCAGTCCACTGCACTGGTTTGAAAACAATGGCCGTCACCTGATGACTGGTCCTCATGTTCTGGGGATGCAGTAGACGTGGGGGGGGGGGGGGGGAGAGCAAACAGGAAGTTGTTTGCGTACTGTGGGATACTGGGGATATTCGGATTTTTTCATTCACTTGATGGCCCATGACGTAAGTACCATATGTTTTGCCTTGTACTGTCAAACCGAACTAGGTCAATTATTTTTTTTCCTCTTCAAAAAATAAAAAGGAGCCGGAGTCTCCCCTTTTTTGGCGGCTCCGGCTCCGGCTCCGGCTCCGGGCTATATTGTTTCACGGCTCCGGCTCCGGCTCCGGCTCCGGGCAAAATATGCCGGCTCCGGCGGCTCCGGCTCCGACTCCGGCTCCGGCTCCGCATCCCTGGAAGCTAATATAATTTTTACATGATGCCATCAAACCCACGGAGCCCAATCAACCTAACATCAGTCAATTCGTTTGGCTTCGCAGCGCATGTACCAATTGAAGGCACATACAACCTAAATCATTCGCCCAACCACATTTGAATAATGTTTTATGTACCCAAACGAATTGCAGTCATGACTAAAAATATGTTTCGGCCACTAGGAGTTAAGACGAAGTTCAGCCGCCCCTAATGGTGTCTCGTTATCCTGTTTGCACGCGGTGCGGTCCCCAGCTGCCAGCATCCCACGGCAGTGACCTGAAGCCGTACAGAGCAGTTCCCGAGCCGATAGTATGCGGTGGGAACCGACCTAGCGGGACACGTGACTAGGGACGCGCGTGGTGCCCCGCCCCTGTCAACACTGCCAGCAGGTGCGACTCTCTCAGACGTGCAGTAATTAAACACAGGCGGCAGCAGGGCACTTTATATTGTTATATTGCAAATGTAGTAGAAAGTGGGCCCACGGCAATTAATTCAAGTAATTTCGACTCAAGACAAAACTGAGACAAATTATAATAGGGGTGTCGCATCAAAAGTTTCTTGCAAAATAAACGGGACACCTTCTGTCATTTTCAGAACAAAACATACCTACAGCGTTGTGGGGCTACAGGCTACGTCTGAGCCCACTGTGTATTCAATAAATTTATTTGAAACCAAGTGCAATTAACTGAAAAGGTTGCATTGCAATAAATTCAAAACGTGAAAGCTGCAAAAACACGTATACCACAATTAGTACCTCATAGTTCAACTAAGGGACTACGGAGAAGCTTGATTTACGAAAAGTTCACTGCAGCATTATAATGCGTCTAATGGACACATACTCAGCATCAGTATTCGGCCAGCCATTCCTAGCCATATTGCGATTGAGGCAGTCGCCGGCTTGTTATATGTACCGGTTGTCATAGAAACTTTTCACGCAAACACATCGATATAAAACCACTCATCATTGCTAGACAGGCAGGGCTCGAGAGATTTAATATCCTATTGCAACTTCCGATAGGTTAAAATCACCGAACCGAATCGGAGACAAAATTGAAGTACTCTTCGGATGCTGCCGTAAGCTAAAGATTTTCTCATAAACCTGCACTTCTGAACCTCTACATCATTCAGGACACTCAGGGTGATGATTAAGTCATAACACGACGGTGAGACGCCCTCTTCATTGATAGTTTGCCAGTTTTACGACATTACCTGGCCCCACGACTGTGTAAAACATTTGTTGTGAAACTATAATCCATATGAATCGTGACTTGTTCTCTCCCCCTACGACTCTATTGGCCCCGTATGACTCTGTGCTACTTCCGACTCGTACCCGTCCAGCTCATACTCACTACCTGACGGCAAACCCTCGGAATGGGCACACAACACTAAAAAGGCACCAACTCACCGAACTCCGACGGCATTGCAGCGGGCCACCATGTCCCTGAACTGGTCCTCGGAGCCCGAGCGGGACTCCAGGCGGTAGCTGACTGGCTGGTAACGGTCCCACCAAGGGTGAGGGTACTCGCCGCCCTCGCCCGTCACCAGCACGTGCTCGTTGGGAGGCGAGACCTGGCGGTGGTGAGGGGTGGGTGGGTTAGGGTGGCCGTCAGGGGTCGGTCAGTCGTGAATGGTATCATGGTACGAGGCAGAAAAGTAAGCAATAACAAAACGTTTCACAGGCAGGCAAATCAATACTGTACACGCCAAACACATGTAAATTGCTAAATTGCAACAAAGTGATTAACTTATATTACTGCACAATCAGACGCATTAAATGACAGTACAACAAAAACTCGTTCGTAACTGGAAATTGTTATAGTTGGTCAGTATTTCACAGCACCCGTCAGTATCCGCTAAGTATCCCACATGGATCCAGCAGTATCCGGTGTCTCTCCCGTCCCATACAGTATCCGATAAGCATCCCACCTGAATTCCGCAGTACCCGGCCATTATCTCACCTGAATTCCGCAGTACTCGGCCATTATCTCACCTGAATTCCGCAGTACCCGGCCATTATCTCACCTGAATTCCGCAGTACTCGGCCATTATCCCACCTGAATTCCGCAGTACCCGGCCATTATCTCACCTGAATTCCGCAGTACTCGGCCATTATCTCACCTGAATTCCGCAGTACCCGGCCATTATCTCACCTGAATTCCGCAGTACTCGGCCATTATCCCACCTGAATTCCGCAGTACCCGGCCATTATCCCACCTGAATTCCGCAGTACCCGGCCATTATCTCACCTGAATTCCGCAGTACTCGGCCATTATCCCACCTGAATTACGCAGTACCCGGCCATTATCTCACCTGAGTTCCGCAGTACTCGGCCATTATCTCACCTGAATTCCGCAGTACCCGGCCATTATCTCACCTGAACACCGCAGTAGCCGGCGCCGGCCAGGTAGCGTTCACACTCGGCGGCAATGTCGGTCCATTTCCATTCGAACAGGTGAACGATGACCTGCCGATCGTCGCAGTGAGGCTGGAACTGGGCGGCCGCGGGGCCCAGTAGGACCGCGGACAGACAGAGCGCTGCCAATGGGCTCCACATCCTGGAACGAAGGGGTAGTGTCACAACGAAGACAAGTAAGGGGGTAGGCATAATGGACGTCACCATTAGCAACCATCATGGACTCAACTGAATTACCCTGCTCGTAGTCAGGTAACTGAATGACTGAGTCAGGGTCACCGTCACAAAGGTAAAGTCTTGGGACTACAGAGCTGCATCCCCGACACAATGGGAACAGCCTAGAGCGCACATTTCGTAAAATCCCAGCAAGCACTTGAGGTACAGATGAACAACACCGTAAAAATATAGCTCTATAAAATAGTGATTGGCAACATAACTAGCCCATGGGTTAAGAATATCATAAGAACGACGAAAGCTATGCTGACAAATCCCCCTGCCCGTGACGGCCCACGCCGTATTCCGGCAGTACTCACATGCTGGTGCTCTTGTTGGCTGGGTGGGTGTGTCGGGGGCGCGGCCGGCTCGTCCTTACATACCCTCCCAGCACATGGGAGACGGCACGTGCCGCCGACGACCGGCAGACCGAGCAGATGACGACTCCCACGGCCTTGAAACGGCCCAGTACCAACACACCCATGTGTGTGTGAAGTTAATTTAAGTATGTGCTATGCGTTATATAACTCAGTCTGTAAGCATGTGTAAGCGTCTACGAATATTTCGATTGCTTTTGACATTTTGGGATTCCAGTTACTAGGCTTTCGCCCACCCCTGGCGAAACAGTCAAGTCGTGCAGTGCATCACAGAGCTCGCATCAACGACCCGAACTAAAAATCAAAAAACGTAAAAATCGGAAACAAAACACGAACTGGGTAAAATCGATTTATGAAGCTTCAATCAAGGGAGCGATGAGATAACTAACCTTTCTATGAAGTGGGAAGTGGGCATTTTGGGCATGCCACTTGGCTGTAGTCCCTTCGCTCCTTTCCCAGCCCTGTTCCAGTAGCGGAAGTCGCCCCGGTCCCGTCGCCGGACATCGTGTGACAACAGCCACCGGTTTTCACCGGATATCGACCCAGACTGCTTCAGTATAAAGCGTTACAGTACGGCCGCCACAGTCAGTCCCAGTCACGGACTACAGAACCCCACCACCCCGTCCAAACCACAGCACCACCGTTCAGTTAGTCTATTTACGCCTACCGTCTCACTCAAACAATAGACCTTAAAAGAAAACACGAAACCTTTAAACGTGCAACATTCCGCCGCCAGCCGCCGACTCCGCTCGGGCGGGGGCGGGGGCGGGGGCGGGGGCGGGGGCGGACCGCCCGGCTAAAACACGGCCCGGCGGCCGGCGGCCGAGGCGCCGCTGAGTATTTGGCAGCCTCGCCGGGGACGGAGCCGCCGTTTCTCAGACCCACGACCGAGATTCACACTCAGCTCAGATCTACGTCTGGCTAACGTCGGCACAACAGGCCCGTGAGCCGGCCAGGTCGACCGGGACCCGGCTAAAATGTGTACATTATACTATGTAATGGCTACGAGCGAAACGCGATATAGCGCTACAGGAACTGACGAGAAAACGCGCGGCGTGAGCCATTCATAGCACGCCGACGCTAGAATAGAGAACAGGAGTCAGCACACGCATACAACACTCAAAACCATGGCAAACACATGTCGCGCAATACAGGTACACAGAGCAGAGCTACATAAAACAGGCGAGCGCACGGAGCGACGTAGCGAGCGTGCTTCGGGACGCAGAGACGCCACCGCGCGGTACTACTAGTTGTCGATCTAGATCACAGATGGCGCGGCGATCGGCGGCGGCGGTGGCATGGAATGTTGACGGGCGACGTCCGGCGAGCACAGGCCGATCACCGGTATCCGCAGGCTGACAGGAACGGGCGCAGCAAGCGCAGCGTGCTACAACAAAGCGCGTCACCCGCTCACTTGCACTCAATCGACCGCCTTTCACTCGCGAGCATGGCTCTCCCCACACGGCCGACGGGTCGAGCCCGCGGTCTCACACCAGTGATGTGGCGTCCTTACCGGTGGAGGGCTCACCTCTCCTCCCCGTCCTTCCCTCACCAACTCATCGAGTCGTCTCCCGGCCCGGCGGAGCCCGCCTGAGCCTGCTGACTGACACGGTTAGACATGTGTCGTACCGGCTGTCTCCTCCATTTGAACCGCCAGGCCGCTAGGACAGCACACACGAGGAGGCGCAGCAGCCGCGCGAGCTCGCCTTGCTCTTCTGCTGCTCATCTGCAATAGATGGGTGGTGTAAGAACGGGGGAGCGGATAACGAAAACTGGGCGATGCAGCCGTGAATAGACCGGGACTGTTATACATTCCGAGATCAACAGTTGCGAGGAGGAGGCGGACACCCCGCAACACGTCCTGCTGCGCTGCCCGTGCCTCTGCGGGGCCCGCCTCCTCGCCATGGGCAACATCTACGGACGCCCCACCGACTTGAGACGGGACGACGTGGTGGCGGCCTTGGCCGCCGGCTTTCGGTCCTTCCAGAGCCGAACGACTACGAGCCGGTGACGGGGCCGAGGGGAATACAACAACAGATCAACAGCTCAAACTTAAAAGGTTTCATAATTGATCAACAACGATTAAAATAATCCAGAAACAGTAAGAACATAAAAATTTACCAGCACTAAAATCGTGAATCCGGCGTCAAAACAGGTCGCCGCTTGAGATCAACGAGTGTCAGAAAAGGCGACTTATTTTGCGATTTAAAACTAGAACCTTTCCTCCACACATCCTTGGCAATATTAGCATCCGCTTCCAAACTAAATAAGTTTGAGCTCAAGGAGTTAGACTAAGTTACTTATTCTGCAATAGAACTAATACCTCAAATCCACCATACGAGCTTGCCAGCAGTCACATTGGTTTAATAGTTTCCAAACTAACAAAACAGCCAGCAAACCTCTCCACTTAGAGCGACTCAGGAATTGGTCAGGCTTGTAAGCTCTTTTGTGTTTTTAAGAGCTTCTGGTCGTGAACAGCTGATTCCGGAGCTCGAGCTCTTCGCCTCTCCATTGTTTCCACGGAGACACGACAGAACAAGTTAATGGCCTCTATAATCGCTTCCTGGTCCTAGAATTACAGATCCATTGAAATAAATAACAAAACATAGGGAGTGCCGACTCCGTGTTACCAGATAAACCAGATATTATTCCGGCCGCAGCTAATGTTGTACGTTAGAACTACCTTGCTCATAGTGGAATTATTGTGGCCGAACTTTGATGTGACAAAGGTGCATAGCACATGGCTTTAACTAAGTCAAGCCGAGGGGAGTGTCACCTAGGTCTGCAGAGAGTCATTTACGTGTATGATGCTATGACACCGAACGACCCTGATTCAGTAGTTGTAATAACTGGCTTTATCTCAGCGCATGACGCTGACGTAATACTCGCGGCGTCATGTTACACTCAGTTAGGTCAGGCGTGAAGAACTCGCTAGAACCACTTGCACTTTCACAACGGTAATTTCGCTCCTCTACCCACTCGTGTGAAATGCGAGACTCATACAGCAATCAGTAAACATTCTGCTATCGATCGTGCAATATTGGCCAGATAATGACGGTACGTAAAAGTACCCTAAAAAGTACCTGGTCGGAATTTTAACAACGTAGAAGAAACATGATGAGGCCTGGCAAACTACCTAACTCAATTGCAACAGTCTATACTTTGTGGCTTAGGGAGACTCAATTGATGCTCGATTGGCAATTAGGTGCAGGGCTGGTAGTTAATTCGGCTAGGGAATATCCAGCTTAATATCACATAACAAAAGAATCAATAGTTTAAAAACATAGGAGCCTAACATATAGGTATGCCGTAGCACACAAAGCACTGACAATGGCAACACTAACACGTTTTCCACAGTATAATAGTACAAATTTATGTTCATATGATTTACTGCGGCAGGCTTGACGAGGCCATGCGGTGCACGAGCTCATCCTGCAAGCTGGACCCCCTAGACTTTGAAAGGACTTTCTATCCCCGCTCCGTGACACCTCTACCACAGATCCAACCACCCCGCGGCGCACACTCACCCTGTGAGCTGGGCTCGGGCAAGCTCTCTCGCGGCACCAGGTGCATTACGGTGGTTTTGCCGAGCGGCAGGCCCAGCGCCGACAGCTTCACGTTGCTGTGCAGAAAGCGACCCTGGTAGATGAGACGCAGTACCTCCGCCTGGCTCACGGCCTCCGAACTCCAGTCTGGGGGGGGGGGAGAATGGGGTCAGGGGAGGGCGACCTGCTGATTCTGACCTAGGCCGACTCAAACTGATAGGTAGCGTAGGGGCCACGGTGCCAGGTACAGCGGCACCGAAACCCCACAGCGCAGATTTAACAGCGACAAAGACCAGCTCTATCGTTCTGATGCACGTTGTCAGTACGGGTGCTACAGCAGGTCAACAAACCACGGCGGACCGTCCCAGTGGATTGCCTGTCTCCTGCCCGGATCCTGATGGCAGCATCAGACAGTTCAGCGGCGCTCACTGAAAGCGGCCTGTAATCAACACGATAGAGCAAACACCATTCGGGCCCACAGAAGATCAAAAGGAGAAAATCTGAGCGCCGCCAGGCGGCCGAGCAGAAACAGCGCCGCTGAATGCTCGCCGGCCGCCGGTCGATACCGTTTTAGCGGAATAATTCCGGGATCAGCGGCGAACAGTACCGGCGACGGGCCGGACTGATGCGTCAGAAAGCGGCTTACGAGCGCCGAAAGCTCCTTTGCGCCCGGCACAGCTACACGACAGTCCAATCGTCCGATTAATGAGACGGCAGCCAGCTGATCGGTACGGCGACCGACTCTGCAGCGGCGCTGGCTGGCCGGCGCGTGAAACCCGTTCTATCGGGCGCACTGACATGGTGCAGTGCGGCTGCGACACGTCATTGGGTGCCTCCACGGCTGTGCTAGCGAGTGGTGACCCGGTCTCTGATGGAAAACAGCCCGCGCGTGCCGCACACACACTGAATATCACCGCGTGGTACCGTGCACTAGATTCGCAGCGGGCTCGGAAAACCGGGCCAGACGCGGCGCCGGCGGCCGCGCGGTGGGAAGCCGACGGTACGAGAGAGTTGGATTGGATATCGCCGTCCGGGTAGCACACGACACTGTCGGACGACCTAACGTCACTGTCAGACAGTCGGAAGTTACTGTCTCAGCCCTACATCACTGATCGATAGCCCTGCGGTCACCGATAATTTGACGTAACCGTTCACCATATTGAGGTAACTACCATACAGTCAAACATCACTGTCAAGCAGTGCATCACTGTCAAACAGTTCAACCAAACCCTCCAACGTTTCCATCTGAACCTCAGTGTTTCTCAGTCGGCGCCGTCAGACGTCAGGGTCGGCGTGTGTATATAACCCTCGACAGCAGTGTTCCTTTCCGCGACAGGCACGGTCTGCGGCCGTCACTCAGGCTTCCCTGCGGCACGTGACCGTCCCCCTCCCCTCTCCTCCCTCCCTCTCCCCATACAGACAAGTGGTTCCGACAAAAAACTAACGCAGAGAGTCCGGTATTGGCCATTTGCCAATGGTGGCCGCCGGCGCCTGTCGGTAGGTATGGATGAAGTGTTGCGGAGAGGGTGCAATATCCGACCTCGTTCACAATATTGGCTGGGCGGCGGACCGGGCCGCCGCGCTGTGGTGGCGTTTCCTGCCGGGGGCCGAGGCGGGCGATATTGGCCGAGAGAGCGCCTCGGGCCAGCGCGCCGCCGAGCCGGATTGGAGTCGGGTGCGTTACACGGTCGGCAGACAGTTCACACCGCCGTCATACGGCCCGGCCGGCCGGTCAGATAGACTATAAACGGTGGTGTGAGCAGTGCAGATAGTTCACACCAGTCGGTGTGATACACCCGTCACGCAGACCGGCCGGCCGGTCAGTCAGTCAGACGGACGGTCCGCTCCGTTTGTTAGTTCCCTGGTGACGGACCGACTCAGAATGGTCCCAAGAGACCGTCGTACGGGTTCACCCGGGCACACTGAACGCGGAACGCTGTCCAGTGCGGTGTGCTGTTTTGAAAAGTAGGAAGAGTCGCTGCAGGAAAAGTAGGAAATACGCAAGGAACAAAGAACTCTAGCGAAGCTGCATAAGTTAGCCATCGGACACTGCCCGAGGCAGGCAATGCCATTCCACGATAAAGTTTGAACAGGCAGACGATCCACAAGACGGGGCTGAAACTTCACTAAGACAACTAAGACAGTTTTCATTGAATTCATTTTATCAGCTCATATGAATCCTTGATTCGGTTGGGATGCATTAATATTATGGTGATCCAGAATAGCAAAATCAATGTAGATAATATATAGGAGCAAATTATTTCATAGGCACAAAGTAAGGACTTTTTTGAACTTTTGAACCATGGCAACTTTTTGAATTAAACGCATGCCCCAATTCATTTTGTCTTCTTTTATTCGCTGCCTTGACGTCCACCGCCAGAAATCCGGGGACCGGCCGTGGCTACGTTAGTTCTAACTCTTACAGCCTGAAAAGGTCAAAGCACGCCATGTGTATACTAAAGGAGGTATAACTAATCAGTATCAATGGGCTAACTTATTAAAAAAAAAAAAAAAAACGCGCCCCTGAATAGTCCACTAGTCACGTTGATAAATCATGACGGACCCTACATTTTGCCTATGTATAACTAATTCATCAACGAATGAAAATATCACCTTCAAGACTGTTTACACGAATAGCTACGGGAACGAAAAGGTGCTGTGAACCACATATGCAAGAACTTCTGGTAAACTGACGCTTACGACCTCATCTAAGCTGGAAGAATGTCTGGAACGGTGAACGATAAAAGCACTCGGAACTTCTTCCCGGCTAGAGAAAACACTGACTTCCGAAAGTCATAACTTTCCAACTCTCTGATACAAGTTTATGTTTTGTCCGTGAAAAACGACCTTGTTATTCTAGCAGTTTCGCGATAAATTCAGGTTATTGCACATGCACAAACAGGGCTGCGTATCACATCAGCCATCGTTATAGTGTTCTGACGGTGTAACATTATGCACGGCCAGCAATAAAGCCGTTTCGATATCGGTAAACGAGGCAAGCTACAACGGGGAGACCAGCCAACGCTGTTCCTCCCTCAAACGATCACTTAGCTGCCTTTTATGGCACCAACCGGAGTAGGACTGGCGAATCCAATAAAAGTACCACAAAACATTACAGATCCCCGAAGCATCGGAAACAAACATTTTACCATGCCCACTATAATACAACTCATTCTAAAAACTTATCTCTCGCTTTCTGCCCTAACATTTCCCTTGAGTGCAGCTCTGGGCTCACGGAGGCTGCCACCACTAATGGCTGAAACAGACTCTTTCCGCAGTCAGGAAATCGCATGCGAGAGCCTATTCAAATACATGGAAGCACGCTTGCATCAATCGCACGCACCTCCCGGATGCGATTGATCCGGGAAGAATTATAATGTACTTGAATAGGCTCTCGCATGCGATTTCCTGAACGCAGAAAGAGTCTGTTTCAGCCTTAACCCACGTCCAATGGCACAGGATGGCAGCCGACCGGTCAGTTGCACTCCCCGCTCCCCCTACCGCACCCTTTCCTCGCCCCTCGCGGTGCCCCGCCTCCCCTGACGTGACCTTCCGACATCCGTCTATAGCGTTCACGCCGGTGCTGAGTACCTACTACCGGTGCGGCCCACCCCGGCCGGCCCGCCGCCGGTCACATAGGTCAGATAGCGACGGACGGTGACGGACGGTCAGAGGGCAGACAGCGACGGTCAGAGGACATAGAGCGACGGTCAGAGGACATACAGCGACTCAGAGGACATACAGCGACGGACGGTCAGAGGACAGACAGCGACGGTCACTCAGAGGACATACAGCGACGGACACTCAGAGGACATACAATGACGGCCAGAGGAGATACAGCGACGGTCAGAGGACATACAGCGACTCAGAGGACATACAGCGACGGTCAGAGGACATAGAGCGACGGTCAGAGAACATACAGCGACGGACGGTCAGAGGACAGACAGTGACGGACACTCAGAGGACAGACAGTGACGGACACTCAGAGGACAGACAGCGACGGACACTCAGAGGACATACAGCGACGGACGGTCAGAGGACATACAGCGACGGTCAGAGGACATACAGCGACGGACACTCACGAGAACATAGAGCGACTCAGAGGACATACAGTGACGGACACTCAGAGGACATACAGCGACACTCAGAGGACATACAGCGACGGTCAGAGGACATACAGCGACTCAGAGGAAATACAGCGACGGTCAGAGGACATACAGCGACGGTTAGAGGACATACAGCGACGGTCAGAGGACATACAGCGACGGTCACTCAGAGGACAGACAGTGACGGTCAGAGGACAGACAGCGACGGACACTCAGAGGACAGACAGTGACGGTCAGAGGACATACAGCGACTCGGAGGACATACAGCGACGGACGGTCAGAGGACATACAGCGACGGACGGTCAGAGGACAGACAGCGACGGTCGGTCAGAGGACATACAGCGACGGACACTCACGAGGACATACAGCGACTCAGAGGACATACAGCGACGGTCAGAGGACATACAGCGAATCAGAGGACATACAGCGACGGACGGTCAGAGAATAAACAGAGAGCCGACCACGTGTCAGAGAGCGGTGCAGTGGGGCAGAGCTGATAGGGTCACAGAATAAATAAAAGTAGCCTACTCGAAGTACGCAATAAGCAATATTGCCAGCCGGGGGGGGGGGGGGGGAGTCGGGAATACCACAGAGCGTGACGCGAAAGGGAACGAGCGTGGACAAATGGATCGCTGTCACACTTGATAAGTGATGGATGAGCAATGACGTCCAATAGATATGCATCATGCCTCGTTATATACTCGCATTTTACTTACATAATCATAGCATTAAAAACGTATATGTAGTACGTTCAATACTGATTCCTTCAAAAGAGACGTGATACAAACTGGCATTGACTAGTGAAAGGCCTGGATGTCAGTATCCTTTCAACCGACAACCAATAGCTGGGTAATGGCAGCTGCCTGGGCCTGCCGGGAGGCATTTCTCATAAAAGTCGGTATCAAACAACATAGTACTTACTACGGAGAACAGACATAAATCGGTGCAAACAGCTAAAACTACAATAGATCCGCTTCACAAACTGACCTTAGAGCATAACTAGCAAGTCCCTCTCCTCCAAACAGACCATGCTCCACATCTACCCCCCCCCCCCTCACACACACACACACATTTATCACACTCATCACTCTTTCTCACTTCCATCTCACCCCTTCTAACTCACCTTCTGGCCACGTGTCGAACACAAACTGGGCGATATCTCCGGCCGAGTCGCCGGCGTCGAATAGGTACTCCCTACTGCGGCCGCTCACAAGGATGAGCCGCAGGTTGATCTGAAACAGCCGGCGGCAGACGTTAGTGAGAAAGACAACATCGTCCTCACTGGTACGGTACGGGACAAACAGAAGGATAGACGGACGACGGACACACAGATTGACGGATAGACGGATAGACGGATAGACGGACCGACGGACCGACGGAGAAAACGTCAGATGAGTGAACAAGAAGCTTCCCTAGCGGGAAGCTGTTATAGAGCGAGGGGACGGAAGCATGAATGTCGTGGTGGTGTGTACTGTGTAGTGAGCATCGAGCGACAAGTGTCACTTTTAGGCTATTCAGCACTCAGCACTCACTGTAATGGGAGCCTGGCGAAAGCAAAACAGATAGAAGAAAACCGAATATGAAGACAACTGACAACAGCAGCTTCCAGAGAACGGCTACCATGATGGTACTCGAACTCGCGCGAGCTGTATACAAGCTCAGACCCTCTCACATGTCACTACAAGGATGGCAGGACATTACGATGTCAGCGGGTACAACACATTTTTCGCCTAACATCCGACACAGGCTGTATCCAGCTCGCTTCTCTGATATGAAATCTCGGACTGGCATTTGTCGAAAGCGACGATAAAAAGCGTCGGCTGCCGGCCGGATCAAAGCCTGGTGCGGACGGTAAGCAGACGTCATCATTGGGGCTGGTGGTCGGCGCCGCCTCGTTACACTAATGGGCGGACCGCTGACGTCGTCACTGCTGCTGTTGCTGGTGCTGGCGGCGAACACCGATCGGTGCAAAAACGGCCGACCAATCAGATCAAAGTGCGGCCGCCGCGGGCGCATCGGGACCCGGCGGGGCACAGCTGGTGGGTGGGAAGGTCGAGACGGGGCAGACGGGTCGACATTACGCCACATAGGGAAGTGCATCCGCGGAATGAGGATATGGGGAGGCAAGTGGGAAGAGCAGATACAGTAAGAGCTAAGAAGCTTTCGAAAAATGTGAATATGCTAGGTTTTATCTGGAAAATGTGGAAACAACACGGACAGTGATGAATGCAAATACATCCGATGCGACATGTGAATACAGTCGTTCACCCCAGTAACGGAGTTTATCAGGATGCTTTTTGAAAATACGAATATCACAGAGACTGGGAAATGTGAATAGGGCAATAACATCAGGAAAATATTTCAAGAATTACTGACAACACATATAAGAAAAGCAACATCGCGAGGCGCGCTTCACGCGAATTAACAACTAGCAAATAAATACGAGTAAAAGAAACATTAAGTAAATTGTGATAGTAGGGCACGACCTTTACAGTTGAGTCAACAATGCCAAACAAAGGAAGCCGACCAGTAATTAGCTGGCGCATCTACCGTCACTCCCATCCACAGAAGCGTTAGCGGAGGCAGCCAGCCGTAGCGCCTGTGGCCCTGGCGCCGGAGCCGTTACTCCGAGTCTCACCTTGTCTGCGGGAACGTGCTTGTTCTTCACAGCGGAGGAGCGCGACATGATGACTGTCGGGGGCGGACTGGAGCAGTGGCGACAGTTAGGAGCGCTGATCGACAGTAGGCAGTTTGTTCAGGAGTCTCAGCGGTCTCTGTCACTCTGCATTCACTCGCGCCCGGCACTCTCCGCACGTCTGGCGTCACTCGCGGCACTCAGTGAGTAACCGTCCGCCCGACACTCCGGCCGGCACTCAGCAGACTCGGCCGTGGTCGTGTGCGTGCGCGCGTGCCTGCGTCGGTGCCAGCTGTGCCGCGCCGAGCGGCGGCCGACGGAGGAGGAGGGGCAGCCGCACCGCCGACGCCGCAGCAGGGAGTGTCGCGCCGTCGCCGTCGGCCCACTCACATGGCGTGACGCACGCCCGTGACACCGGCTGCCGGCAGCGTCACGCGTCACACGCACGCCGCGTAACGGGCCGGGAGGCGCCGACAGACCCTCGGACCGGTCACGGACGGCGGCACACGGCGGGGTCACGGCCCGACGCGACCCTGGCACAACGGGGGCGGCACACGTCAAACTTGTACTATCAGGACATGTAAAATGTCAAACTGGTACAAAATGACACATCTTTCAACGTCATGCACGAGACATAACTGAAATATGACGAGAGTAAATTTTATGCCCCACATTGTTGAAAGGCAGACTGAAAAGGAGATGAATGATTTATGGGAGAGGTAATGATGTACTTTTTTGTGAGAGACATTTCTTACAGTTAAGATTATAATCGAGGGGAGTGAACAAAAAGGTTATTTTGAACCATCAAAAACTTTTTAATAAAGGCTAAAACTTCAGTGAGCTATCAAGTGACCATTAAACCTATCAGACAACTAGTTAGGCATATACCTACTGTTATATTCCAGATTTGTGCAATATCCATACAGGATATAAAGTATATGTGAAGTCAGACCCATAAATTGCTATAAGATGAGTCTATATTGTACACACATGTGAACTGATGAAATATTGAAACTTTGAAACCTACAAGTATATGGGGACAGGGACACTATCACTTCTGCTGCCCAATACACACATCATTAACATTTTACACAATTAGAGTATAATATTAATAACATTTTTATCATATGTCATTGGAAGGGTAACTCAATGAAACATTTTGATCCATGATATTAAAGCTCATGATTTGCCAGACTTAACTGCCAGCAATGCAAGAATATATACACCTTATTAAACATATGTGAAGCAATCAATGATTTCAAAGCTGTAATTTGAAAGCACTTCACTTGACTTTTGTTCTTGAAGACTCATGAGATTTACCTTAGCTGCAACAACAGCAATGCTGTTAAAATCAACCAATCAGAAATGTATTCAAAATCAGCTGTTGGAGATAACATGTCAGTGAAAGGACTTCTGGTACACTCGTTTGTATGCAATACAAGCCATCACTACCAAATGCAAGCTGATTTCAGTTGGGCAAACTAGACTTTTGGAATCAAAATATGGAGGCATCAATAATTTGATTCTGGTGGGAGGAGCCATGACCAAATATGGGCATGGAATCAATTTTTTGATTCATTTTGGTACACTTTTGACTTCAAATGTATCATTACGGTTGAAAAAAGGCCCATGACGGTGAGATTTTTCTTTAAAAAGGTAGAAAAATGTGGTAGGTTTGCAAAAAGTGTTACCTCAAAGCTAAGAAATTGTCCCTTTGGGCTTGTGAATGAGAAAAAGACAGAGCCACTGTCCATCACGTAAAAGCTGTTTTGAGGAAATCACACTGTATGTTATTTTTGTATCATGAATCACATACTAAACATTCAGTATTTGTGTAAAATGGCAAAATGAAATTTTTAAAACCCTAATTATCATTGTTGTAGTGCTTTTATATTATTTATATGGTTTTTATCTGTTGCTTCAGTTTTTGTATTCTTGACATTTAAAAATTGTGAATTGTTATCAAATGTAGTGAAGGTAAAGTACAACAATGCTATAGGTATCTGTTGTGGTGCTGAGGATACCACTAAATGAGAATAATAGCAAGATAAATGCTGTATTCTTGGAAGTCATTGTTGCCTATCTGTTAACATTACCTGTGAATCAAAATAATGATTAGCCAGCTGATGGAGAATCAATATTATGATTATCTGTTTAAAATGAATCAATTCCTTGATTGCCTTTCACTACCTATAGAGTTCAAATTGTTATGATAGGAGCAATCATATTTTGCTTAGGAGATAGTTCCAACATTTCTGTTCAAGATCAGGCATGCTCCTTCTTGAAACACTTTCTTATTTTTATGTGATTGGTAAGTTAGAAATGGTCTGCATTTATGCCCAAATATGGTCATTAGGAATCAATCTTTTGATGCCTCCATATTTTGATTCCAAAGGTCTAGTTTGCCCAACTGATTTACTGTACATTTATCCTTAATGTGGCAGGTGGCTGCATTCTTGGCAATTTTGTGAAATTTCTCATCAGGGAATGATTTCAGAACAAAAATAAATACACCGTTGACTAGAGTGAACATTGGGTTTCCCAATTCAGAAAAGTTGTGCTAGTCTCAGTCCAAGCTAAAAAAATTGCTATTCAAAATCAAAACCCCATGTTTAAAGTCATTGGCAGATCCAGAAAAACAATTTTGGATGCTGGGGGATGGCATAATACCCCTAAAAAAGTTTCTCTAAATTCCAAAAACTTATCAGATTTCTGCTCCTTACACACTGCTGCGCAGTTTCAAACATACTTTTCCGAATAAAAGTAAAGTTTTCGTTTTATTCTTCATAAACCACAAATTTTCGTCAATTTCGGGCGCTGCAGGGGGGCGTTTGCCCCAAATATCCCCCCTGGATCCGCCAGTGTTTAAAGTGGTAAATTTCCTTGAAGCGTAAAAAGTCAGAAACTGAAACTGTGCCTAGCAAAACACCAATTTGAAGAAAGTGGTACCTATTAATCCCTTCAAAATAGAGCATGCAAAGACGAATTTCTAAGCAAAACTATGCTTTGAAAATAAGGAAAGAACTCACACTTACCACAGACTGTAGCAGAGACCTATATCCAAACGGTTCTCAAGGAAAACAAAGAAAATAAAAACGAATACTTCCAGCGTCCCCGCCTGTGCTTTCTTTGGCAATAGTTTAGAGACATCAATGGCGCACATACGACAAACAGAATCAGCTGAATTTTTGCCACTGTTCAGTTTTCTTGCTTTTGCTAGCGATCGCAGGTACAGCAGTTTGTTGAGAATGTAAATGACGTAAATCCAAATATTTTAAGGGCAATTCCTGTTCCGATAGAATCTCGATTATTTTTTAGCATTCAAAATGAAAAGAAGGAATTATGCGATTGCATTTCAACCTAAGAACCGAAAAATGATTTTCAATTTCAATGGTTGAGACTTATTTGAAGGCCAATTTTGTCGTAATAGAAACGTCAGCTAATATGAAACTGATTAGGTGAACATCTTGAAGTGAAAGGGAGGGGCGATTTGAAGGCTTGACGGCGCCGCCGCCGAAGGTCCTTTGTCATTTCATTTTCGGCGGTGGTCTGGGGCATTTCTGCGTGATTCTGTATTACCTACATTCATTATGACGACTACTCAAAATACTATTGGTCTGGGTGGCTCGGAGAGGATCTCAAGCAGGTAGGTACCTGACTCTCTGGCACTGTCTTTATCCAGAATCGAGGCACAGATTATCCAACTTCAACTTAAAATTGTTGGAATTTTCGCCTGCACACGTGTTGCCTTGCAATTTAAATGCCCAGCATTTTGCTTTCATCTGAAAAACAATATCATTTCCAACCAATATTTGTTCTGTAACACAAGTCTAGCATGATGATGTTCTCAAATTTTGGCATTCAGCATTGACTGGGCGCAACACATAGAGCTCTGGCATTTGCGGAGCAGAGGAACATTCAGAGGGAGCAGAGGCATCAGTCACAACTTTAGGTACAAACATTTAATTCACTTCTGACCTCCAACTGACATGAGTACTCAAGAAGCTCACACCTTCGTTAGTTCGTCAATCTGTGCAGCCATTGAGTGACGAGTCATGCTCCAGCATCAGAAAGAAGGCCTCTGAACATAACATATATTTGAATTGCCAAGCCCTCCAACTAAGGAAAAGGAAAAGCTATTGTGGAGCACTTACTGCCGAAGCCACGATGAACTCGATCACGCCAGGTACGTCAGTGTTGAAACGACCTGACTCTGAGGAACATGACCAGAGCCCTCCGGCGACAACATGAGAAAAGCTGGTGCCTGGTACTGTCAATCGAAGTTAACCCGAAGTGCTTCTGGCGGTACCTCAAGACCAAAAACGGCATCGGCGACCTACAAGACGAGAATGGGGAAACGGTGTCTTCTGATAAGGCAAAAGCTAACGCCATGAACAGATACTTCAGTAGCGTCTTCGTTGAAGAAGCGTCAGACACCATCCCTGTCCTGGAGTGCCCTAATCACGGACCGCTTCTGGAGGACGTCGAAATCTCCCTGCTACGGGTACACACTAAGCTGGCAGCGCTGCGGGCACACAGCTCACCAGGACCCGATGGCCTTCACCCTCACGTACTGAAGAAGAATGCAGCCGTCCTCTCTCACCCACTGAGCTGGATCTTCAGGAAATCCCTGGACTCCGGGGATGTCCCCCAGAGTGGAAGATCGGCCGACCGATATTCAAGAAAGGAGATCGCCGCCTACCATCCAGCTACAGACCGGTCAGCCTGACATCCGTCTGTTGTAAGGTCCTCGAATCTGTCATCAGGGATGAGCTCCTGCACCATTTGTCAGCAAACGGCCTGCTTCACAGAGCTCAGCATGGTTTCCTGGCGAAGCGTTCGTGTAGCTCCCAATTGCTTGAGGTACTGGAAGACTGGACCGCTGCCTTGGAAGACCGAACCCCGGTGGATGTGGTCTACCTAGATTTCGCCAAAGCTTTTGACTCGGTGCCGCACAAACGTCTTCTCGAGAAGCTGAGGTCGTATGGTGTCGGAGGTAAACTTCTCACCTGGATACAGACCTTCCTAGTTGGCCGTCGTCAACGGGTGCTGATTCAGGGCTGCAGCTCGGAGTGGGCGCCTGTCTCCAGCGGTATCCCCCGGCCCCAAGGTTCAGTGTTGGGGCCGACGCTGTTCACAATATACGTCAACGACATGCCACTGGAGGTCTCAAGCAATATGAAGATGTTTGCCGATGACAGGAAGTTATATACGAGTGTTAGAGGTCGCACCGGGCGCAATAAGCTCTGCTTATTGCATGTTTACTCGGTCTGTACATTGAAAAGTCGATACACAAGTTGACAAGTTGTTCTTACTTCTTCTACGCAAGACTCACAACCGTTGGGCATCGCGGTAACGTTAGCCACACGCACGTTTCAAACTTATCAGCGATCATATTCTGTATAGTTATCGAGCATAACTGGAGTGTTCAGAGCTATATGAAAGCAGTTTGCAGGATAACAAGGCAGGATCACATGTTTCGATGTGTGGCGTTTTTTAGTACGAATATCGTTTCTGCTCGGCCGAATTGATCTCGGATGGTTTTCAATCTAAATTTTGCTTGTCCTTGACAGACCTCAGAATCTGTGTGATCGGGATCGTCTTCGTTTTCAATGCCTGTCGTAGTTTCAGAAAGGAAATAAAGGGACAATCTAAACATCCTTCAAGAGTTACGATGCATTGCCAAAAAAAATCACCAGTTATTATATACGCATACGCATGATACGCATGTTTGAAGAATCCATAGGAGCACTGACGTAAGTTCAGCAATTTCCACTGAGAGTAAAGAATTGTTTCGAGGTCCTTTACTGCTACCCATCATAAGGTTTATGATATCCTGCATCCACCCGTTGTATTCCTGCCTCCCTCTACTCCAACTTCCTCTCGCTCGTGCTGAGGACGCCCGCTGACCCCTGCCCCGTCCCCTCCCCGCCGCAGGGTTCTGAAGCCCCCGGGTGGCGGAAGCTCTAACATTTTCGGCCCACCCGACGAGGAGCCTGCGCCGACGCGTGTCAACAACCGGGGCGCGTCGACGCTAGTGCTGGGCGACGAGCCGGCCCCGCCCGCCGCCGCCGCACAGCCCGGTAAGGCCGCCGACCGGTACACAGGTGCCCCGCGCCGGCAGACCGGCCGACCCACATATGGCCCGCCACTGTGATAGATGGGGTGGGTGGCCGCGGCTGATGTATGGTTTGGGTTGATTGTTTGGGTAAGGTGTATGTAGTGGTGAGATTGGTGATGTAGGAACAGCATTGATAATAAATGATGTGTGAGCGATAGGTGATCATGTAACTGATTGCGTAACATGTTTTCGTTCGTTGGCTATGTCGTAACTATTTTTGGCTCTTATGAGTACGGGGCATCATTGGGGCATCATCATTTTACGTAGTTTTCACACAGAAGTTTCAGAAGTTTCCTTATTGTCTGGTTCGTAAGGCTGTGTTCATACTGCACCCTCTGACCGGCCGTGATCCGCTGTTTTGACGGTGTAGACGGCGCTGTCCATATGTGTTGGCCGTGCCCGCCCTCCGCCGGCCGTATTAGGAGGCGGTCACTGGCGGCTGTGGGCTCAGGGAGACGGCCGCGCCGGCTGTCCTTGACCCTGTCCGCGGAGACGACGTCCGCTGCTTCCGGCGGCGCGGCGCGGCTCTTCCTGTTCCCCTCCCCGTCCGTCCGGCGACTGACGAGTGACGGCCGCTCTCCGGCTGTCCGCAGAGGCTGAGGAGCAGGAGAAGGAACAGAACGGCGAGCAGCAGGAGCAGAACGGCGAGAAGCAGGAGCAGAACGGCGAGGGGGCGCCGGCCGTGGAGGAGGGCGCCGGAGAGCCGGACCCAGCGGCCGCGCCGGCGCCGCCGCCGGCCGCCGAGCCGCCCAAGCCGCGCCGCCAGCCGCCCGGCGGCTTCTCGACGCCTCTCTGGTGAGGGAACAGGCCGACGCCACCGCTGCCTTGCCTTTCAGCGCGCCGTGCGGCTGCCCAACCCGTGCCAATGCAGCGGGCCGCGCGGCCGCCACACCCGTCCCAGACGTTCGGTTTAAAGTGTCGCTTCGCCGCCGCCGCCGTCGCTATCGCCCTCGCCATATTATTCCGTGCGACGGCGTGTGTTACTGATCACTATTCCGTTTTTAATACATAACATTCTGTGGATTTAATCTGTGGTGATTTGTTTTTCAACGTTGCATAAGAAGAGGAGACGGCGAATATCGGCTTCCACCTATTCATCAATGACGCAGTGATGTATGATTCAGTGGGCAAACACACTGTCAGCGCTTCTCAGCGCTCCTTGCCGAAGCATTATTTATTTCCAGTCTGAAGCACTGTCCCATTTGCCCTTGACAAGCCGAGGGCATGCTTAGCTTCCACTCGACTCAAGGTAGACACAACTCTCGCTTGTATGACTGATTCAGCGCCGGCCGTAACTCTGCCTTACCGTTCGCTCGCTTCATTCGGCGCTCACCAATCCAGGTAAATGGCCGCTGTCGGCGACCGTGTGATCGTCCGGGCCACATTTCCGACACGGAGCCAGTTCCCCGGCCGCTCGCTCGCTGGCCGCAGCCCCGGCCTTGCGACACACCGAATACGCTAGCGCCTGAGCGGACGTATTGAAGCGGTGCGGTTAGGTCTGTACCGGCCGAGATTAGCGGCCGTTGTCGGATTGGGCGGAATTCGCGCCGGTGTTCGCTCTGGGTAGCGATTCGCAACCCCGCGTGCAGAGCTCGGCCGGGGAACCGGTCTGTGGCACATCGGAGGCTATCTGGAGGGGCGGCGGCGCGGCCGATTTGGTCGGCCGCGGCCGGTGTGTAGGAGGGACGGGGACGGTGGTTTGTTGGCCAGGGCGCCGACAGGGCGGAGGGTCCTGAGCTGCTGGATAGGGCGGGGTCGCGGGGTGTGGGTAGCGGTTACTGTTGAGCTGTTACGCCAACTCACCACTGGGCGGCTGCCAGTCACGGTTTTTCCCGCTGTTGCCAGTCGGTCCATGACAAATGATGACCTCAATCGTGAGGTGGTTTCAAATTACGGCATCGTCTGGGTTTTAAAGGTAACAATTGGCCTCGGACTGAATCCAGTCTGGAATGCCGCATGTGAGCCGATTTGTGAGCCCCGTGGCCCGATCTCGCGGTCTCGTCTGACGCTATGCCACAGTCAGTTCCGTTTGTTCTCTCCCAGTGAGGTGTGGTCTGTTTTCAATGCCCCCGCGTCGTCCCTTCCCCGAGGCTGCTTGGCACGGTTCATTTTCCCTGAAGCATCGGGTCACTGTGGCTGCCCTATGACGCAGCGATAGCCCCGGA